TCAAAATTTACTTCTTTATACTATCTAATGATCATAAACAAGCTTCTGTCCAAGTTTGGTAGAAATCCAGGATAGTTTGAGAAAGTTATTAAAATTTTAAAAACTTTAACCACAGAGTGAATGTAATGTTTCCTGGCAGAAAAACTAAGTCCATTTATAAGTAAAATACGGAAAAACAGGAATTTTTTTTTTACAAAATTTACTTCTGGATACTATCTTATGATCATAAACAAGCTTCTGTCCAAGTTTGGTAGAAATCCAGGATAGTTTAAGAAAGTTATTTAAATTTTAAAAACTTTAACCTCAGAGTGAATATTTGTGGACGCCGCCGACGACAACGCCGACGGAATGTAGGATCGCTATGTCTCGCTTTTTCGACAAAAGTCGAAGGCTCGACAAAAATCAAGACTTGTATCAAAAATATCCCAATATGAGAGACAATGGCGTCATTTTTACTTAGAGCTTTCAGCTCTTTGATTGGTTTATATCTCTGAAACTAAAGCATTTAGAGCAAATCTGACAGGTGGCAAAAATGTTCATCAGATTTAGATTTATCTGCCCTAAAATTTTCAGACGAATCCGACAACCCGTTGTTGGGTTGCTGACCCTGAGTTAATAATTTTACAGAAATTTTGCAGTTTTTTGTTATTATCTTAGATATCATTATAATATCTAATACTATTAATTATGATTTTAACCTTATTTTACATGATTTCCAAAGCATCAGTAAATACAGGTGAGCGACACAGGCTCTTGAGAGCCTCTAGTTTTATTAGAGCATCACTGATAAGTCTTTTGTAGACAAAACATGTGTCTGGCTTACAAAACTATAAGACTGGTATCTTTGATGAGATTGATTATATCTCTTTTTTAGCCATGTCAGAGTTCATATTTTTTTTACAAAATTTATATCACATTAGTTCAGTATTAAAAAAAAATTCGTAAGGGTTCCGCGGAACCCAGTGTCTCGCCTACTTTTGCTGTTAATCGCAGGCTCAACAAAAATGAGGAAAAAAATAAATAAAAATATTCCTCTCTATACTATCTTTTGATTGTAAGTAGCTTCTGTCCAAGTTTGGTAAAAATCCAGGATAGTTTATGAATCTAATAAATGTTTTAAAAACTTAAACTGCAGACTGTATGTAATGTTAACTGGAAGAAAAACAAAGTCCATTTATAAGTAAAATCTGGAAAAAATCAAACAAAATTTTAACAAAATTTCCTTCTAGATACTAGCTTTTAATCATAAACAAGTTTCTGTCCAAGTTTGGTACAAATCCAGGATAGTTTAAGAAAGTTGTTAAAATTTTAAAAACTTTAACCACTGAGTGAATGTAATGTTAACTGGCAGAAAAACTAAGTCCATTTATAAGTAAAATACGGAAAAAATGGATTTTTTTTTTCACAAAATTTACCTCTGGATACTATCTTATGATCATAAACAAGCTTCTTTCCATGTTTGGTAGAAATCCAGGATAGTTTAAGAAAGTTATTAAAATTTCAAAAACTTTAACCACAGAGTGAATGTAATGTTTCTTGGCAGAAAAACTAAGTCCATTTATAAGTAAAATACAGAAGAAATGGAATTTTTTTTTTACAAAATTTACTTTTGAATATTATCTTATGATCATAAACAAGCTTCTGTCAAAGTTTGGTAGAAATCCAGGATAGTTTAAGAAAGTTATTAAAATTTCAAAAACTTTAACCACAGAGTGAATATTTGTGGACGCCGCCGACGATGACGATGACGACGACGACGCCGACGCCGACGGAATGTAGGATCGCTATGTCTCGCTTTCTCGACAAAAGTCGAAGGCTCGACAATGATTATGCATGAGTATTTATACGTACAAGGAAAGCATAGTAAAAAAGGTGATCAGAGGCTATATTGATGGTCTAGTTCACTTTTACCATTTCTTAGTTATATGCATGATTTGACTGTGTGAAAAAACACCCAATTTTTTTCTGTAAGCTTTTTCGTTTTGTAATGTATTACATTTGTATTTTAAAATAGCTTACATAAAACTCTACTCTGTATTTTTTATATATCATGCAATATAAAAGCAAGAGTTTCACCAAACTACAAGTAATGGAAAATGTATAAAAGAGAAACAGTAAAACCATTTTGTACAGTACAATTTTTATTTGAATCATCAGATAACTGCGACTCTTACTAGAAAAAGTACTCATAAGTCATGAACAATTCAGTATAATTTACGATCAATCTTAAGATTTTTTGTGATAAGAGCTTCAGGCTCTTTATAGCTGAAAGCAAATGAGAAATAATTACAACTGTACACACAAATTGAATTAGGATTGTCGTTCTTTAGATTTAATTTGTAGTTTATGAATCTTTGCATTATCTGTGGTCGACCCACATCCAATAAGCAATGTCTCATTCTTGATTATAGCCATACTAACTGGCCTGCTAATATCAAAAGTTTTGAGCCTGATGCAGTTAATGAGATCACCCTTGGAATTCAGTATATGTAGGTTGTCATTTGAAAAGTCACATGTAATTAAACTGTCATGTGATGTAGTTACTAGATCCCAGGGATCAAAATAATGATTTTGGTTCAGAATTGGCAAGCCTGTATAATCCCACTTAATGTTTCCTTCATTGTCTAGTGATCTAAGTCTAACACTTCTATTAGGCGGCCTATCAAGGACAATTATATCTCTGTTTGTATTTGATGTTATTCTATGAGGAACAGTGAAAAGGGCCTCTTTATTTGAATCAAATTCATAAATCTGATATGTTTTGCCATTTTCTGTCAGGACCACAACCTGACCTGGTATTTCTCTCTCCAATTCGTCCTTGACTCCTGCTGTACCCACAACCACTTTGTTGTTATGAAGGACATGTATTGCTGTTGGAAGCACTTTTGCAGAAAGCCAAAATTTGTTAAATTTATGAAAATTCTCCATTTTCTCTTCTCCTTTTTTAATGATCTTGATGGTAGGATCGTTTTTTAGTACAAGCAGTAGTTCACCTGATTTTGAGGCTACCATATCTCTTACTTGTATATCTTTGACTTTCTCTTCGATGGCAATTTCATATGCTAGTTTAATCTCTTGTAAAATGCTGTTTTTATTGTTCTTTATCCAAATTGTATTTTCTCCAGTTGATATTTTTCCTATGAGATTTAGATTTGTTGTATAACTTGATTTTTCTGAGGCAAATTCAACATGGTCTGCATCTCTGAGAAAATCTAGCTCTAGTTTTCCAACTATTTTTTGTAATTCATAAGCATTGTCACTTTCTTCTATAAATATCAAAGTTTGAAATGGTAATGGACGTCTTTCAATTACAAATCCTTCAACATAATTCTGGACTGCATCAGATATATGACATACATCTTTAATATTGTTGCTTTTTATAAATTCTTCTACGAGAGTAGCACTGCTTTTCAAATCGTTACTTTCTTGCTCTATTTTGGTGATGTTTTTTTCTATATTTTCTTTAATCTTCAAGTATTCTTTTTCCTTTTCACTGAGAAGTATATTAGTCAGTTTAGAAATTTCATCCTTCAGTTTCCTATCTTTTTCGATTATTTTCTCCCTTTCAATTTTATAACTCACTGTATGCAAGGAAAGCATGTCTTCAAACTTTGACTTTTCTGACAAAACAAATGGAAAATATTTGTTGTTTATTATTTCTCTTTGATTGCTTAAAATTTCAAGCTTTTCATGATGAATAAGATCTATATTACACATAGAATGACACTGGTGGGAATTGGTTAGACATTTTGAACAAATTAAGCCATTGCACTCACGACAAAATAGTATCAAATTATAAGTTGGGTGACTTAGGCAGGCGATAGTCTGAAGCTTATGTGACGGCAGATTGATGTGTTCTTGTGCTCCTAAGTACTGGTAATTGTTTTCATTGTATTCAGCCATCACATTGCTGTAATAAAAAATAGCCTTGCACACTACAAGATTCAGCAATCTTTTGAAATTTTCAGCAAAATGTCAAACCATGAGTCAACCATACTTAAATAACTATAATTTTCATTGGTGTTTATCTATGTTTACTTCCTTTTTGTCAGTGTTTATCTATTGTTAATTAATCTATCAGTACAAATGTGCACAAACAAGTGTTATCTGTTTAATAAAGAGTTATAAATAGTCATTTGCAGTGAAATTTAGAATGAAAGGTTTTGTTTTCTTCAGAATCACAAAATAATTCTAGATCTGAATAATTCTTGGCCCGTTTCTTCTACTCAAAATCATCTTCATTACCCATTGCTGCTAACTACAACTTCATGTAAGTTTCTGTATAAAAGAGATTTCTTCATAAAACTTAACTGAACTATCTGAACAAATAGGTTTCCATTGTCAGATGATCTTAAAGGGTATTTCATAAAATGAGCACATGTAGTAAACATATTACATAAGTATTGAGGTGTATATATATGAGAGGTTGACGGGGGTGAAAGAACATGAGAATGGGTGGAGGATATTCTGGGAACATTTTTTTGACCTATTTTTGTCTGGGAGTAAGGAGGGAGGAAAGTGGGAGCTGAGGGTAAGGAAGTGGGAATCAGGGACCCCCTGTCCACATCCTCATATATCAGTAACACAATTGTACGGCATAAATTACTTGTGATATTCTATACACAAATTTATTTCTTCCATTACATATATATTACCAGTAATTAAGGGGAATACTTTTGTAACTCTTTCTATAATGCAGCTCTCAGGACATATATTTCTATAAATTTTAACTTGTTTCTTTTGTTCAACCTTTTTCTGTCCTTTAGTGAGCTGGTAAGTGAGGCAAATATTTTTCATGTGTACAAATTGAACTGGATTCAGTTGAAAATGATTTTTTTTTCTTTTGAAGGGAGAAAAAATAAAACTTGAACAAATGGGGGCTAGGATAAAGAAATACATATTTTGTAAACTTTATTTATTATTTAATAGCTGTTGACCAAGTAAGGATACTTCATTTATTCGTACAATTTCATTTAAATATTCCATTATTTTTATTGTAGAGGTGGCCAAACTCCAGTGGTAACATTTTCTATTCCACATGTGCTTAAGAAAAGGTATGTGTTTCTTACTACATGTATAAGTAATATGAATAAAAATGAAATGCTGTGTATTCTTCAATAAGATAGCAATAACATTAATATTTTAATGTCACTTTCTAGTCTTTGATAACAGTATCAGTACCATATGTCCAAGTATCAATCACTAGAAGCCTATAGACAAGTTTAGAATGAATTCAGTAGAGACTTTCAAAGCTTTGACATAACTCAACATTTCTTAATGAACAAAGCTCTGTAAGACTTTAAAATAAACACTGATAAATTAAGGAAGCTTTTTTGGACTAGGCAAATTAGCCTGTGCTAGGATTGTCAGTTTTCCTACCGACGGTCAGTGGTTCTCTCCGGGGACTCTGGTTTCCTCCACCAATAAAAACTGACTGCCAAAAAATAGCACAATAGTGCTGAAAGTGGTGTTAAAACACCAATCAATCAATCAATTAGCCTTTGATAGGGTTTAAAAAGTTGACTTGCCCTTTTATCTAAATCATTGGAATAACAAAAGATGATGAGAAAATACATAATAATCAGTAAGCCTGTAAGGCACTAGTAAAATAACTTATTTCAATAACGTAAGCCACGAAGCTTTTTCATACCAATTGTTTACCTTAGGTATTGTTATATGAAAAGACATTTAAATGTTAGCTGTAATAATAGGGAAGAAAGGTTCTAAAAAAAAAAGACACGGGTATAATTGTTAAATCACAAAATTTAGATTAATATTATGGAATAAACTCATCATAGATACCAATATACAAAAAAATGGATATGCAGACAGCTAGAGGTCAAAATCTTGATCACTGGCCTACTTAAACAAGACAAATTGTCATTTGCTACTTTTCTGCTAATCAAGTTGCGTAATCAAAAATAATAAATGGTTTATTCTATTAAAGAATAAGATCTCTAAGTGGTTGGCATGTCTTCTTGTGGACTCTTTCCATCTGTTCTAGCACTTTTTGTCTGCGTTGTACAAAGCAGGTTTCATTATCAATATGGTTGAGAGTAATAACCCACTGGATATGATTCATCAATCTATTATTATCCTTGGTGTCAGTGATTTGCCTGAATTGATCTAATCATTTTATTGATTTCAGATTTAGACAGCCATTCAGACCAAACTGCCATCATGAAACAAGTCCCAATGTAACTCCTCTTGCTTCAGAACCAGATCCTTTACTGAGTGATGCTCCTGCAGAAATGTTGAAAGTAGCATGGCATGTATCATGGCACAATGGGATGGAAAATCTGCTTAAAAATTTGAGGCAAAACAAAAATAAATCTGATGGAAATTTACCAGAGTAAGTTTGTTTTATACTGTACAAGGTCACTATATAGTCTGAGATTTTATAACCTAAGCCAGGAAATTTGGTAAACCAGATTACAACTACTGTGGATTCATTATTATTGGTGGGGTACCAGTTTTTGTGGATTTCGTGAGTATAGGTGAACCATGAATTCAAATGTTGATTAATGTACAAATTTTCTATAGGCCTGTATGCAGACTTTTTTAAAACCATGAAATCAAATATCCACGAATATACTATTTTTCCTTAATCCATCAAATTTGGTACCACGAAAATAAATGAATCCACAGTAATCCCAGATCAGTTAAAAATTTCAAAATATTCTTGCTCTCTTTTATATCCTATTCACATTGAAAATTATCTTAAATATCTTCAATGTTTGAACATCTCTCATCACTTTCAATAAACTAAATAGATGCATTTGTAAACATTCTACGCCTACATATACTAATTGTATGGTGTTTCTGAAGTTCATTTAGGAAATTGGTAGTTAATGGAAATTGTGTTATAAAATTTTATTCTTATCATCCTGGTCTTTTTAGTGATCACATGATCAATTATAGTATGGATTCCTTAACTCATCAATCTATTCTTTCGAAGTAGTTCATCAGATTTAACAGGTTTGTAACTAAAAAAAATTTTACAAAGAGTTGATTTTGCAAAATTTCTGTTAAAACTTATTTGAATTTAGCAGATTTCATTTTATTTTTGAGACTTTCTAATTTTTAGCTCACCGAGGCCCGAAGGGCCCCATGTGAGCTTATGCCATCACTTGGCGTCCGTCGTCGTCTATCGTCGTAAACTATTTCAAAAATCTTCTCCTCTGAAACTACTGGGCCAAATACCTTCAAACTTTAACTAAATGTTCCTTAGGGTATCTAAGTATCTGGAGCTGGCATGTCAGTAACTGCTAGTAGTCTGTTGTTATTTATGTATTATTGTCATTTTGTTTATTTTCTTTTGTTTCCTATTCTGACATCGGACTGGGACTTCTCTTAAACTGAGTTTTACTGTGCGTACTGTTGTACGTTTGTTTTTTCTACATTGGCTAGAGGTATAGGGGGAGGGTTGAGATCTCAAAAAACATGTTTAACCCCGCCGCATTTTTGCGCCTGTCCCAAGTCGGGAGCCTCTGGCCTTTGTTAGTCTTGTATCATTTTTAATTTTAGTTTCTTGTGTATAATTTGGAGTTTAGTATGACGTCCATTATCACTGAACTAGTATACATATTTGTTTAGGGGCCAGCTGAAGGACGCCTCTGGGTGCGGGAGTTTCTCGCTGCATTGAAGACCCATTGGTGGCCTTCGGCTGTTGTCTGCTCTATGGTCGGGTTGTTGTCTCTTTGACACATTCCCTATTTCCATTTTCAATTTTATCTAAATTGGTAGTTTTAAGGAAATTTTGCAGTTTTTTGTTATCTTGAATATTATTATAGATAGATATAAACTGTAAACAGCAATAATGTTCAGCAAAGTAAGATCTACAAAAATGTTAATAAGACCATAATTGTCAATTGACCCCTTAAGGAGTTATTGCCCTTTAAAGACAATTTTACACAATTTGTTCATGAAGTTTGCTAACATTTAAAAATCTCCTCCTCTGAAACTACTTGGCCAATTACCTTCAAACTTTAACTAAATGTTACTTAGGGTATCTTGTTTATAATATGTATCCGAAGTTTTGATCCATAGACAAACATGGCCGCCATGGCTAAAAATAGAACATAAGGGTCAAATGCAGTTTTTGGCTTATATCTCAAAAACTAAAGCTTTTAGAGCAAATCTGACATAGGGTAAAATTGTTCAATTGGTCAAGATCTATCGGCCCTGAAATTATCAGACGAATCGAACAACCCATTGTTGGGTTTCTGCCACCAAATTGGTAGTTTTAACAAAATTTTGCAGTTTTTTGTTATTATCTTGAATATTATTATAGATAGATATAAACTGTAAGCTGCAATAATGTTCAGCAAAGTAAGATCTACAAAAAAGTTAATCTGACCAAAATTGTCAATTGACCCCTTAAGGAGTTATTGCCCTTTAAAGATAATTTTACACAATTTGTTCATCAAGTTTGCTAACATTTAAAAATCTTCTCCTCTAAAATACAGGTGAGCGATTCAGGCTCTTGAGAGCCTCTTGTTTGTATAAGAGACAATCAACATATTTGCGACTATTTATAATTGCGTCATATTTCTACTTGAGAAGGTTATAGAAATTAATGGCTTGGTAATATAAGTTGGTTAGTAAAATAAACAAATTATGTGATAAATTATTTAATCACTACATTTATCATTTCTTTTAAGGTTTTCTGCAAAACTGCATCTAAGTTATAAAGACAAAATGTTATTGCAAGCCAGTCATCTGAAAGAAGGACTACAGCAGGCAATATACACTGTATGCAATGCCACATCCCACAGTGGTGTCAGTCAGTCGTTACATCGTCTGCTCAGCTATATAATGGCAGCATTTGGTTTTGGTGGATCAGACATGTTCTTTTCCATGGAATGGTTCAATAGTATTGGAAGGTAATTGTAACATTTTATTTAAGCATTGACAATAGAAATCAAGATATTAACCTTCTGCTGAAAGGCTGTCATCTTTTATTGAAATATATCTGTTGTCAACTATGAATGCCACTTATACCTGGTTTCTCTAAGATTATGAATAAAACATTGAAAACAAAATGTCCACTTTAGGACTGTCAAAAATTCTACTGTTTGAACAATCCATGAAGAACAGTCCTTAACAGTCAACATTGTCTGTTGCTATTAGATACAGTAACAAACAGATGTTTATGGTCTTGAATATATGTTTATAATGAACTGTTCTTGATAGATGTAATTGAAATCATCTGGTGTGGGACAGACATGCCAGTTGGAGATGCAGTACTCTTTAGTTGATAATTATATATTAGTAGTTCGATTTTTATCTTTACACTAGCTTGGTACTTGTTCTGGAGTGTTGAAAGACCACTATAGTTTTAATTCTTACATCATTTAATATTATAGACAAAATGATAGCTATTCCAAATGATAGCTTTTTCAAATGAACTATTCTAATTCAGTTACTTTTCACTTCAGGTTTTTGAAAGTCACACCTTCAAATACTACTGATGAATCCTTGTTGCAAGAAGTTTTAAGCTTTGTTTCCATGGCGTTAAGAATGGCCAATCAGATACCAGATAACACTTTACAGTTGATAGGAGAATTGTTGTATCAAACATCAGGCCCTCTGATTGGGTTGTTACACAGAGCAGCAGTCAGAGGAGAAACTAGAGATGTTCCTGAAAATGTCAACATTAAGAGGTATTTGAGATGTTTAAAGAAAAGTTTTGGTACATTAAACTTACTGTTCTTACTCAAACACTACTGCAACCTGTATGTTACTTTGCTCCTGAATCACTTTTAGAAAAAAATTTACAGTCTTCACACTCTGGCTTATTTCAGGCCTGTATGAATTTTTTCTACAAACCAATAAAATCTGTACAAATTTTTTTTTTAATATAGCGTAGAGTTTGTGGCTGCAAAATTTATCCTGAAAATTGTACAAAGTCACAAGTCATGAGTTTATATTTTAAAAACATAGTAACTTTATATGTTAAAATCATGCTTACAGAAGGGCTTGTTTCAATTATGTTAATTAGTAACAAGAAATTAAAACCTCATTTCGCAAATTTTCACTGTTTATGGACACAAACTGTTGCATCATGGATGCACACACAACAAATGATATTGAGTATTTATTAGAATTCATATCTGGAATATTTAGACTTCAAACAAATATGCATTTACGTCACTAACAGTTACACCTGATTTCATAGAAAGACAGGATATGACTATAGCTCAAAATATAGATTGTCATCTAAATTTCTTGACTGCATATAACTACCTAAGGCTTAAAAGTTAATGACTTATTCAAATGAATCAGTAGATTTAGGACTAATATGAGACCAGGAACATATCATTGGATGGTTATAGTACATATAATGAATAGTAATTTCTTGATTTATTGGTTCTTAATTGATTGATGAAAATGTACTTTTTATTTTTATTCCAGAACCCTTGACAAAGAACTTCTCTCATTCATATCAACATACAACAGCAAACTACCATATTTGTTATGTAGAAGGTAAGGTACTGAATTTGAAGAAACTAAAAAATTAAAAATGAATATAAGGTCTATTCCATTTAATAAATGGACGTGGGAGGGTAGGAAGGGACTGACTTCCAATGCCCCCCCCCCCCCCCCCCCCCCAAAAAAAAGACAAACAAAACCCAACATTTTGAGTTTCTTTGATTTTAAAGACATCAAATGGGCATCAACCATTTATAACCCTGAACCTATGTCCAAACCAAAAATGACACTTTGTTATTGACTTTATTTGAATAGTCTAATGGATACATGGTTTTTTGGTTGGAATACTGAATACTGCTTTAGTTTGCTAATCATAATGGGTTGAAGTTGTTTGCTCAATTTCCTCGCTGACTCAAATCACAGACTTTGTTTTAACAAAATTAAATGGAACAAACTTTGATGTTTCTTAAAAATTTGTAGCCATTTCTTAAGTAACTAAAATTTTCCTTTCTATGATTGATTTTATATCGAAAAAAGATAAATTTATTCCACTTAAAATCAATGGGAATTGTTATCCATATTTATAAATGATAAATTCAGAGTTTGAATGAAGATTTTACCTTATGTGTTGTATTCAGTCATTGAAACTTTCAGAAAACATTTGTTTTGTAGAAAATATGTTAGCTACATTGGTAATGTTTACATTCATGAAAATTCTCAATAAAAAGTTGTAATTGTAAGAGTGAATGAAGAAATATGACAATTATAATACCAAAATTTGTAAATATATTTTTCAGGTTAAAAATCCAACAGTTAAGAGGAGACCTAGTGAATCAGTTAGTACAGAGGTTAAATGTTACAGATGCTCCACATTTTTACAATCTTGCCTCCCTTGAAGGAACTCTTCAGTGTTTAATGCATATCACTGCAAGGTATGAACATTTAAACAGTGATTTTACTTTAATACTAGAATGAGAATATGTGGTATGATTGACAATGAGACAACTCTGCACCAGAGACCAAATGGTGTATAAGTAAGCAACTATAAACCGCCGTAAGGCCTTCAACAATAAGCAATACCCATAAATCATAGCAAGCTAAAAAGCCCCGAAATGACAAATGTAAAACAATTCAAACCAGAAACTAACAGCCTGATTTATGTACAAAACAATAAACGAAAAACAAATATGGTATACAGTAACAAATGACAACCACTGAATTACAGGCTCCTAACTTGTGACATGCACATACATAATGTGGCATTGTTAAACATGTTAGTGGGCGCCCAACCCTTCCACCTAACCTTGGACAGTAATGCAACAACACAACACACAAACAAACTGTAAAAAAAAGTAAACGAAAAATAACTATACAAAACAATAAACAAAAAATAAATATGATAAATGGCTACCAATCTATTACAGGCTCCTGACTTGGGACAAGCACATATAGAATGAACTATGTTTTAATTGAAAAATATTGTTTACTTAAAAATGGTTATAAATTTCTTTTTGTTGGAGAACATAATGGGTGTATCAATAAATGAATATTTCATTCTCAGAATCTGAAGAAAAGTCATCAAACAAATTATTTAAAATACAGGTTTGATGATAAAATTTTATATACTGGTTTTTTATTAAAATATTTAGACCTGGTTGGAGCCAAGAAAGTACAGATTTAGAGAGTTACACATTGTGTGTTAGAGTACTGAACTGTTTATTGGAGGTAATTTATAACATAAATCATTATAAAATTGAGACAAAAAAAAAAACATCATTGAGTGATTTTTATTCCATTTGCAAATCTATACATCTCGAATAACGAGGTCCAATTTGTTAGCTGGCATTACGTAATAACGCAGAATCAAAGAATTCAACTTTATATATAACTAATATATGACAATGGTGTTGATTAAAAATTACACCATTCCAGGCCTTTTTGTTTTCCACATAATAAATATTACCAATAATTAACAAGTTCTGGGTCGTCTTAGTAAATTCCTCTGTTATCGGGGCTGTGAGTGACGGTGACGTGACCTGTGTCACATGGTATTAAAAGCCCTTAATTTTAATACTACTTATTAAAAAATCAAAAATTAAGAATTAAAATACTAAAACAATAAAATATTATTGTCCTAAAAATTTACAGAAATGTAAAAACCGTAATTGAATACTATTTACACCTATTAGTGCAAGTGAATTATAATCAAGGCTATAAATAAGGCTTAGGTACTTTAATTGAGTCACGGATCCGCGATGTCGCGGGTGTTATCTAGTACTGATTATGGTTAAGGTTTAAAATTTTGCAGATAAGTTACATACCTATTAACCTTTTGGAAGTGTTTTGTGGAGATCTCCCCTTTTAACTTTGTTTTGCATGACATCCATTTCAAGTACTGGATTCATTTGTTTTAGTGGGTACTAATTTTCGTGGATTGAGGAATTTATGTATTTTCTTAGATATTTGATTCATAGTCTGCCTAGTCTGCATACAACCCTAGATAAAAGTTACACTGTTGAAATTTTATATTTGTGGTTGAGAGGAACATTTTATTCAATTAAGAATTAAATGCTTCTTTGGGTAAATTTATTGTGGTATAAAAGCGTTGACCGAAGTACATTTTGTATGAAGTGTGGCTTTTACAACCCTATAAAATTACTAAAAGAAGCATTCAATACTTATAATTACATTTTTTTTGCTAGGATCATGAAAACATGATTGCTATCAAGTTTTTCTTTTATTTACCTGTGCACTTTGTTGTGGAAGCTCGTGTGATCATGAATATTACATTTCATTTTGAAATGAAGGTTGATTTCAGAATGATGCAGTTAGCCAATCAAAATAATGTATTATAAATTTATGAAACATACAAGTAATGTAATTATTCAACTATGAACATCAAAAACTTGCCTAATGCCTAATGGCCTAATGGATCTCTATGACCTTTTTATGTACCAGTACACAACCTTTATTCACAATACATGATGTCTAATGGTTTATGTTACTTTTTTACACTACTTTCTTTGTAGAAAAAGGTACTTTATGCTAACTTCCTTCACCTGCAGATATAGATAAATACATGTATAAAAGTATTTGGAGATTAAGGGGCATTATAAGGCATATTTTTCAATGATGGGTACTTTGCCCTTTTTCAAAAATAAAAGATCCATTTAATAGTCAGGATGAATAGGTATGAAAAGAGTAAATTATAGATTTCACCTTTTAGTTTTGCATAATCTCTGATGTTTAGTTTATTTTATTTACTTAATGAAGGTAGTATCAGCATTCCACATTGGTCGTGGTGGTACATCTATGTCATACATGGGGAAAGGTGTTACCAAAGCAGCTACACTATGTTTGAGACATTTGTCATATGAAATGGCTACACTCTCAGAGGATAAGGTAATCTTAATGTTCTTATCATTTTTAATTTTAGTTTCTTGTGTATAATTTGGAGTTTAGTATGACGTCCATTATCACTGAACTAGTATACATATTTGTTAAGGGGCCAGCTGAAGGACGCCTCCAGGTGCGGAAGTTTCTCGCTGCATTGAAGACCCATTGGTGGCCTTCGGCTGTTGTCTGCTCTATGGTCGGGTTGTTGTCTCTTTGACACATTCCCCATTTCCATTCTCAATTTTATTAGTTATTGTAGAAATTATTGTGATGAAGATTACTGTTCTTATCTAAGGGAAATAACCCATGAATTAATTGGTTGGTACATGAAATCAATTGAAGTTTTACTAAATGTCTGTACACAATACTAGTTTTAAAAAAGTGGATAGATGAAAAGCACTCAAACCACACACAAAAATGTAACAAAGGTCTGCCACAATAGAGAAGTGTCTACTCAAAGTGTGGAGCTCTACAATGCCCAGTCTAGAAAAGTTGTATATAAATTTAACAAAGACTAAGATCTTCCATAAATATTGAATTCTCTTTATCAAGAAAAACGAATAAAGATTTAACTATAGACAACCAGACAAAATTATTGACTTATGAGAGACACATGTACCATGTAGGAAGCAATTTAAATTTAATATTTGTTTTCATATCATTTTAGGATTGGCCTAAACAGTGGGGTCACAAACAAAACCGAACAGGATCAAGTGGTTTAGAGAATGGACTTAACTGGATGTTAACACTCTGGGCATATAGAGACCCTGAGGTAAATTGAATTTTATAGTATATTGGCTGTTTTCAGCAACAGAATGATTGTTTCAAAATTCTATACTTGAGTGCAAAATATTTTTTTTTAAATTTGTATTCATCAAATACCATTACAAATGTAGGAAATAGACAAACATTGTGTAATGTATATCGAAATTGATGGTGATTTTATTAGTGAAACTGTTTATTTCTGAAATTTTAAAACAAAATCTGGATTTCAGCAAAACGTTTTTTATCCTTTAAAGACACCATTGTTTTTTTATTTTCTAAGGAAAATCATTTTGATTGTTGATATTTTATCAGGTGAGGACAGCAGGTCTTGGTATAGCTGTGGCTTTGACCTCTACAGAAGCAGGAAGAATAATGATGACCTTGAACTGTAAACATATCCCAGGAGGCATCTGGGGAGCAGCTTTAAGTATACTCCTGGACCATACAGAATGCAGCATGGTCAGACAACAGGTCAGAAGATTTTGTTATAATTTGAAAAAAAATATAAGGTTGTAAAGCAAGTAAATCAATTCCTGCTTGCTGGAAATTAAGCACACAAATATAAGTAAATTTCGGTATGGTATACATTAATGAGACAGCAGTCCAACAACACAAAAATCAAAAGACAACTTGAGGTTGACATATAGTCTTCAACAATATACAAATAACATTATAATAGTCTGTTATTACCAACCAGGTGGAATAAAATTTCATATGTATGACCTTTTAGTAGTTTCTGAATGGTCAACTTTGAAACAAATATAAACTATATAATGATCACAAAGTGCTTTACATTTAAAATACTGTGAATTAAGGAATTATTGTATGCATTTATTATTGTGATTTTTGAAGTATGGACAAAAATGTAAGAATAATTATTTCGATTTCAGGAATATCTGCAAACAGCTTCATATATCAGATATCAGAATGCCAGTTCTTTTTATTGCGATACTTTTCCAGTCGCACTGATAAAAACCTCACAATGATTTCTGAATTAAAAGTATTTTGTACCTTATTTAGTTAATGATAAAAAACATGTGGTATTTTTTATTTTTACAGGCAGCATTACTGTTGGTGAACTTGACTTCACAGAGTATGCCTTGTGGGACAGTAGAATTACAAAGTGATGCATGGCAGGGACCTATTGTTACTGATACTGAATTTGAGGTTAGTATTACCTCTGTGTCTGTACAGTCCAGGTTATGGTGTATTTTTGAAGGAAATCAGTGCCTTAAAAGTCATAAAAGTAAATAGATATATATTTTTTGTATGTCATTAACAATATATCCATACTCTGTGGTGGTGCAGTTGTAAATTTAACATATGATGATACAATTCATTAATAATCTTAATAATTAAATAAATGTCTATATTATGTGCTAGAGATATTTTTACCAAATATTTATAAATTTAGACTAGGCCACCTTTTCTATATGTTTGATTTCATGTAATTACCAGATGTTTCCTTCTCACTTTAAAACACAACTAAAACCTCAATAAAAACTGTGACATAGTTATGTTTTTAAAATAATTTCTTGCATTATTTTATAGACCCTCACGGGAAGTCAAGGTTGTTAAACACCCCCTATAGTAGTAGCATTATTAAATTTAAAACAGAGTTTCTGGAAATTTGTGTAATAGTATTCTGAAAAGGAATTGTTTCAAGATTCCCAGTAATAAAACTTGTGTTTCATCCATTTGTTTAGTTTCTGACCAACAAAATATGTTTAAATTAAATTACATGGTAAAGTTACCTGTTTATTTCTAAAGAAGAGAAACAGACTAGCTATAAAACCTGTACAAAACTATTGGTGAAACACTGATCTTTTTTTTATATTTAAAAGATGAACAACACTTGAATGTAATTTCAGGTATCATTGGTAGGACTGAGTGCACTGTTAGCCCTACTTCACCATAGTCAGTTTTATTCTGAAGTGTTAGTGATGTTATCTAACTTCTATGCACAACCAGTCATCCAGCCAGATATTTGGATGCAGACATCTCAACAAAGTCCAAGAAGTTCTGAATCCACTTTTTCCTCTGTTGGTAAGTTTCATTTTCATGTGGTAAATTTGCAAAAATTGGCACCTAGGAATTGTAAGTTATGAATATATCCAAAGTATTCCAAAAGCACTGAAATGTATCATACTGTGTTCATAAAGAATATGAGACAAACTATAGATGATGGATGGATGTCCAGTGACAAATTAAATGCATATTCTGGAATTCTGGACAAGAACATGTTAACAAGATATGAATATTAACCCTTCTTTGTACTTGACCAACAAGCTGAGTAGGATTTTTGATGTGTTAGTTTACAAGGTAACAGTCCACAGAAAGACATGTCACCCTACCCTCACACATTAATCCAACTCTGAGTCGACCAGTCTTTGCTCTTACTCCTCAATGCTGCATGCGTAGTGGAAAAGCAGAAAATACCTATTTTAAAGTCCTTGGTTTGACCCGGCTGCGGTTCGAAACCATGATTTTCCGAACTCCAGGCAATATGCTGCCATGAGACACCTATGCAGGGAATATACATGAAGTTGTAAACTTTGATTTAAAAAAGATCTACAGTAACTTACGATCTGATTATTATTTACAGGTGATGTTTTGTCTGACAGTCAACAACACAGTAGTACACAGGTAGGTGGGTTAACAATGTAAGTTTTATAATACTCATTTTTGAAAGTGGATCTTAGAAAAATAAAATATAACATTTAATATCCAAATGAATTGAAATATCTTTAAAAAAAAAACATTTGCACAGTAACTATGGTTATGCATTTATTGTATGAATGACAGAAATCACAAATTATATGTTAAACAAATTCATTAGAATATTTTTTTTATTATATTACTGTGACTTGACTGTAAGTGTTGCCTCCACTTATTGCAGTTTATTCAAAATTCTGACTAAATTGCAAATGTTTTATCAAACCAAACTGTTCAACTGGTCAGAGATTTTAACGAACTGCTGTAGAAAACCACAGTCGATGATGTTAAAGTGTAAGGTGATAATATAAAGCATACTTACAATCCTATTAGACTTTAACTCCACTTCATTGATATTATGAAAATGACACAAAGAATTTCTATACATCCTTTTATTGTTATTGTCATTCAATAGGTGATAAAACAGAATTGATGGAAGTAGTAGTACTATAGAGCAAGATGTTTGTAACAGTCAATGATTTATTAGCTTTTAAACATAAAAATCTTTATTAAATAGTTCACAGACAGAAGACAACTCACCATGTCAACAACAAGTAGTAGCAGAACTCAACATAGTGGTAATAAATATATTTGTTCAACATTACTCTCACTTAAAGAAGACTTCTGCCCTCATTTTCTGTCTCTTATGGTCTTTTTTTAAAAGTTGTTCTGAATTATTGGTATCTATACATTCCAGTGTAATTTTAAAACATTTCATTGTAATAAGGAAACAATGGTTCAAAAGTAATATGATAAATATGTTATGGTTCCATTTAAATTGATATGATAGCTCTTCTTTAGCAAGACAAACTTTATAAGTATAAAAATTATAAAGGTAATGAAACATTCTTGAAAATTTTTATGTGTTTTGAAATTCAATTTTAACTCTGTAATTTTTCAGATATGCCATAAATGCAAAATACCTTACAAATGAAATACATCACAGTTTCAGTCAGTGTAGAACCTACATATTTTCTTGAGAAAAATTTATCTTTTTTACAGCTCATGTTCAACAGGGTGACAGTACTGCCAGTTCAATAGTTCAGGGAGATGTAGAATATCCAATCATTGTTACACCATCTCTTGTGTCATCTGTGTGTCAATTCATCAAAAACATTGTAGTATTGGCGCCACAGGATACTTTTACCTGTTTAAAGAAAGACAATTTTATACAGATATTTACTAAGTAAGTTCAATATATACATCTTGAGGTTGAACTGGTTTGTTTTTTACTTGTCTGACTGTCAGTGTGTCTAACACATTGTTATTGCATGCATATCAATATTGTGTCCTGCCATATTCTCTACATATTGAAAAAGGTTACTATTATCAAAATATTGGATGTGTTTGATCATTAGAGAATCAGACATGTGGAATTATTTTTGAGGGGGTGACGTGTGCATTGATTATATGTCTTTTTGGTTAGGTTTCCTTCATTTAAGAACTACCTTTTCTTAAAGTAAAGAAAAATTACCTTATCAACTGTGATCAAAGGAAGACAAAAAAAAATAAGATCCAAAGCATGATATAAGAATAAGGCAGCTCAAAACATAGATATGTGTGAAATCAGACATTACAATATTTGTTATTAGAGCTTATAAAAATATGATAGACCTTTTATAAATTATCTTATGATGGAGCCTCAACTCTTACAACTGCTTATGCAGGCATTAGTGCACTTTCATCAGAATTTTGCACTTTGCTAACTGAATATTTTGGAAATTGAAGCCTGTAAATAATAAATTCCTACATCTCTTAAATTTAACTGAAAAAAATCCCAAAGGTAGGAAATGAAGTATATGCTTTATTTTTAAAAATGAAATTTAAAAGTATATTACCATTTCAGCTTAATAAATACCAACCTTTTAGAGGCCTACATGAAAGAGATGGAGGAGAGTTGTTTAGATCAGTATGAATTAGTATTCTGTGACCTACTTCAAATGTATGCCAGTGTATTAGACTTGCTCAGAGCATGTGTTATCTATGACACACCCATTAGACAAGATATACTCAGTAACAACAATTTTCTACTGGCTACCCTGTCATTGCTGACCATTACATACTCAGGTTAGTATAGCAGTGTTCAGAATTGTGAGCTACAGACTTTTGGGAACCTGGCCTTGATGAAAATATTACAGTTTTTTTTTACATTTTCTAAATTGAAATTAGATGTAATTTTTACCTTGCCTTGTTTTATTCATACTAACCACTCTGAGATACTAGCTGTGCTCTCCCCAGAAATTTTGGATAGCATCACATTTGGCGTAATAAAAATAAACTGTATTTTTTTCAATGTCATTTGTCGTGATGCGGCGATGGATGCTCTATTTCCTTTATGATATATATGTTTATATTGTTCAATTCATACCTGAGAATACAATTAAACTATAACCATGATAACAGTTGTTTCAGTTTATGTTTTCTATATTCATTTACAGTTACAGTATTATTTTTTTCCTCTTGGGCCAAATAAAAATATATGTGTGGTTCCAGCCACCCTATCTACCAAACTAAATGAATGAATGAATGGTTTATTATAGTGCAACCTGTAAATATACAATACTAAATATCTAGTAAAAAAAAAAAGAACTGTTTTTTTATTCAAAAAAGGAGAAGAAAGTATGACATATAGCAATAAAATTTCAATTAAAAAACTTTTTTCTTTATCATGGCTATGAAATTCATTGTTTCATGGTATTCAATGAATTAGTCCCAGTTGTTTCTTTATTTCAAAATGATGAATATTTTTAACGAAGTTAAGCTACTTTAATCAGTATATTGAAACAATGCATTTTCAAAAAGGTTACATTTAGCAAGGAGATCTAACAAATAGTCTGTTAATGCTTGTAGAATGCGTAGTTTTCTCTTTTGGAATCATTTTTTCTGTCTACTGTGCCATTTGTGCATCTGTAGTTATTATCATAAAAATGTGGATTTTTGTCATATCTGGTCCAGTTCCGATCCGTATTTTACATAAATATTTCAATGGCGGCCGAAGCAAAATTAACATAAAAAAAAACAATGTTTGACAATAGATTGGGATTGAATATGACGCTTTTAATGCATTAAATGGATGATCAATTAACTAAAGCCAATTATGATCACTTTCTAAAGAAGTATCAAACTTATTTAGCTCAAAATAAAAATGTTTAATATACGCTCTCGATGAACAAGAAGAACCAGAAGGGAAAGAAAGTAATTTTTTTGAAAATTGTAAAAATATACGACCAAACCTCATTTCTGAAGAGGTAAATCGTTTGTATCTATGAATTTCCACTATGCAAACGTAAGTTTCGGAATTGTTTTATGATTTTCTGATTACATTTTCTCCATGTCGAAATTTGTGATTGGACCACATGGTATAAGTCATGTCACAAGTGTCAGCTTGGGGTATTCGTATCCAAACAGTTATCACCCAAAGGGCAATTAACACCTATTTAATCACTCTAAATTGCCTCTTTTGTCCGACTTGAAGGGATTACAATTAAAGGTGATATAATTTTTATGATCACAAGCGGTAATTAGATGAAAGTTCAAAATTTAGGACATTGTTTTGCGATATAGAGACAAGTAAAATAGCATCCTCAAAATAATTATAGCGTCGAGGAAATTATTATAGCATCACGGGAAAAAAATATAGCGTCTCGGTACCGCGACGCTAAAAAGGTCTGGGGAGAACACTGTACTAGCCCAGGACTTCTTCAAAATAATATAAATCAACGTTTTCTTTTTGTTAAAACATTGCTTTTGTTTACACTCTACATAGTATATTTGACAATTTAATGTTAGTATGGCTTACTTTGAAATTCTATATATATAAATATAAAATTATATTTCTGATATAAATAACCTTGTTTTTGTACACTTATTGTATCTATAAATCTTTTATTAATTCCTGATTTATCTTACAGTTGATATTTTATATTTATTTTGCAGGATCTACAGATGTGACTTCCACTTGTCATGAATTGTGGATATCAGTTTTCCAATTCCTGTCTATGCTGTTACAGGTCCAGGGAGCCTCAGCGCTGGAGTCCATTACACAGGCTGTACCTAATGTATGGGATCCACTTTCAGGTAAATTTCTAGTACCATTGTGGTACTCAGACTCATAAATCAACCAATTAAAATACTGGATTTGATGGTTCAAGCTTAAATTTTGTTCTCCAAGTACTGAGTGAAGTTTTATGACTGAAAGGCTTGATTTTTTTAGTCAACTTACCGGTACAGGTCAGTATTATGTTGAGGCTACTGAACTTTTGGACACTTACTTTTCCATTACAAAGACTCTGTGTAGTTATTTGGTCTTTTCTCATGTAAATTGTGTTGTCCATATGGCTAAAACCAATGTTTCAGCAATTAATTCAGTTTTCTGATTTATCAAATCTCAGCACCTCTAAATGAAATCTGCTTTAGCTGTTAGATCTATAAACTCATTTAAATATTTTATGTAATATTTTATATCTGTGTGATTTTTCAGAGAATGTTCAGAAGATATTAGATGAGAGACTGGACTACAGCAGGAATTTGTACATCACATGTTTACAGTTTCTTTCTGTTCTCTTCAGTGAAGAGGGAAAACTTCAGGGGAGACAACCAGAGTTGTCCAAGTCAACACTAACTATTACTCAACTGTTAAATGAAAAAGTTAATCCAGGTAAAACATCGGATTCATGTTGGAATAATAAAATATCATTGAAATTATGAAAAACTCATGTCTTAATTTGCTGGTTTCCAATTCAATTCAATTCACATTTGTTAAATTGTTGTATAGATAAAAGTGTTGTTAATCCATTCTTAGTCAACAAAGACCATCAGGTAGGGCTTAGTTTTACATTTGGGCTAATTTTTTTCAGAATGTTCTCTGAATTTTAATGCTTTATCCTGATAGGGTTGTTTATCTGTAATTTATTTGGTATTATAAATGTTTTATAATATTTAATAATAATCTATTAGCTACTAAGCTTATTTTACTTTATTTCCACAGTTACATGGTATATTGCTGTATTATATATTTTAACATTGAATTAATTTCATCTGTTATTTACTACATATACTTATGTAATCTTTTTTCCAGATTCTGAAGATAAGGATGAAGTTTCTATAACAACAGGGTGTCGTCTCTGTAAAGCTTTGACTAAAGTGTTTGACTATTCTATACTGAAATCTAACGATTACAAAAGTCCAGATAGAATACATTCTGCGACAGCTCTCCGGAACCTTCTGGCTATATGTGTCACCGCCAAAAGTACTGCTCTTGATAGTAAGTTGATTTTATGCTTGTGCTAACAAAAGTTTTAAGTTTACATTATGTATCGCTGGCCTAGTCGTCTATGTACTTCAACTACTGTATCACTAGCCTATCAAAATTGGGGCTGTCAGTGGGAACCCCGCAAGTGGTAGGTGCGTTGTACTCTAATCTTAATTAATTAAGATACTGTAAATTCAGAAATTATTGCGTGCATTTATTTATTAATGTGATTTTTGAAGAAAGGACAAAAATGAGAGATTAATTATTGCGATTTCATGAAAATCTGCACACAGATATATGTATCAGATATCAGAATGCGAGTTCTTATTATTGCGATACTCGACTAGTTGCCTTATTCGCCTTAAAAACCTCGTAATAATTTCTGAATTTACAGGTGTCAGTTTTCCTACAGAAGGTCCTTGTTCTCTACAGGCTCACCTGCTTCGTCCACAAATAAAAAAATGGCTGCCAAGAAATAGCCAATAGTGCTGAAAGTGATGTTAATCACCGAAGATCAATCAATTACCAGTAATCAAAATTTTACATTCATTACTTTTTTCATAAAACATGTTTGTACTTCAATGCTTAATAGTTTTTCAAATCAAAACTCAGCATAATTTATATGCTTACAGAAAGATATTTCTAATCATGATTATGTATCTATTTTCAGTGGGTTTGGTAGAGAACATTATAGAACATGTAAAACAGACACATGCCAAATTAAACCTAGAATCTCTACAAATTAATAAAGCGAACAAAAAGAAGGAAGAATCTCATGTACAGGAACTAATTTTGACCTTTGACCTGCTACGCAACTTTATATTCAAGAGTTTAGATGCTAAGGTTTGTGTATTATCTTTTTAAAGTGTATGTAATTGGCTCTCATATAGAATAACTGATTGAAAAATTCAAATAAAGAATAATATTCAATGAGTGATCAAACAACACATTAATTCACTAAGCTGTGTAGCGCATCAGTTAATTATCAGTGTTTTTCTGTGACAAACTGAAGATTTTTTGGTATTTAAATTCCTGGATTGGTTATTCTTTTTATTACATTTACCGTGGGCTTTTTAATGGAAATAGTATATAAAATACAAGGAACTATATCTTTTTCTACTCATTCCCAATTTGTTTTGATGCAACGTCTTTGACAGTGTCATGAGAACACCCATAGTTGTATAATCTAGAGGAGTGAAATTATCGGATTTATTTCACATGTAAAATTATCGGTTTTCATTTACTTAGGAAACCACTGTATTCCATTGCAACCAATGTAATAAGTGATTTTTATCATATGAAATTTTAGGTTTAAATTAGACTGCAATTAAAGGTAAATGGGCCCTTCTGTTCCTTAAAATATTATATCAATCTAAACTTTCTTGATTCAAGAAATGATTTATTTTTTATTAAAATAGAAATTGTCCAATGACAGATTTTTAACACAGAATATGCTTTTATATTTATTCTTGCCTATTTGTATGTATCGAATTCTATAAAAAAAAGTTATTTAAAAGTAAGTTAGTAAGTATGTAATAACTTTAATTTGTGTCTGAAATTAAAAAAGAAATATATTTACAGAGTTGCCTCCCTTATATCATATTTTGTTCATTTAGTAAACATAACATTGTTCTTTTCTCATGCAGATGGCCTGTTTTTACAGTGGACTACACAACATGGTGCACAGATTATGGACCTGGTGCTTATTGGACTCCAATCTTTTGTCATCATCTTTAGCACTGCTGACAACTTTTGTCGCTAAGTGTCCAACGGGTTGGTATTTTTTAAAACTTATCCAGTCAGTCCTTGACTAACAGGCATGTCCATGAGACTGTTAATCAAGGGTCCCTCTCATGTTTAACAGTAGACTGCAACCCTTAATATTAAAGGCACTGCTGAAAACGTGCAGCAGGATATCATTTTTTACTACCAAAACTTACTGATATTATATAGGTCTCAACCCAAGTTAATTTTAGAAAAGAATAGAAAAAATATATTAGTTTCATAACGTGCACTTTTATTGTAAGTATTGTAAAAATGTTAACTACCGAGCGGAATAGTAGAAAAGCTGCAAATTAACAAAGAGTTCTAAATAAAATAATTTATTATGCAGGATTATTAATTTCAATACGTTCAGATACAACTAATTCACACAATTTAAATCAAGTCAAAGAACCTGCATAATGTCAGTGTTTAGACAAAAATAACGAATATCAATAAATATATGTTTCAATAAAAATCGAACAATTCCAAATTTAGGCCAGGGTTGGGCTAAAAATGTTTCACAGCAAAAACACCACCGTCAAGTACAATGTGTAACGGAATTCACTGTCTTTTTACACAAATAATACCTGAAGATGTGTAATTACATGCTAAAATAGCTTAACTTAACTTCTTACATAAATTCACAAAGCCAAACGTGAAATAAATAGGTTAGGAGAACGAAAAGCAGCCTTTCTCTGGGACAGTTAAATTTCAACTTACCAAGTTGTTTACGTTCGAAACCAAGATGTCATTATCATGGAATATTTCCTGTAATTACTTACATTTCTCGGATCTCGTATACGCGATCATTACACTGACAAATATGCATGACCATAAATTATATACAATTAAAAGTTTTATTCCATAATAACAATACTTCAATAAGCACACCCGGAATTAAATCCCATTTTTCAGAAATAACTTCTTTGTTGTGATAAGAACGACAACTCTTGCACAAAACATGGAACTACGGTTTGGCGGAAAATGTGTCAACACAGTAAATTCTACTGAAAACGTTGATTAATAAATGAAACGAGACTAAAATGTGCTTTATCAGGTCTGTCATACCTTTACACAAATTGGGCAAACTTAGATAATATGAAAGGAATGATCGAGGTTTGTTCAAATATCATTTCAGTTTCACAACACTAGATTTGGCATCTTTATTAAATGTTAATACTCAATTCACTCAAATAATCAGTTTTCTGCTCTTTTTTTCGTCATGCTTGAAGATATAGATTTGACATTTGGTATATTGTTTTATCATGACAAGTTACAGATCAAGTTCAAATTTTGTTCCGGTGTGATGATTTTGTGCAGAGTTATGGTCCTGGGACTTAGAAAATTCACTCAAATAATCAGTTTTCCGCATTTTTTTTCTTCATGCTAGAAGATATTGATTTGATATTTGGTATATAATTTTATCATGACAAGTTAAAGATCAAGTTCGAATTTTGTTCCGGTGTGATGATTTTGTGCAGAGTTATGGTCCTTGGACTTAGAAAATTCACTCAAATAATCAGTTTTCCGCATTTTTTTTCTTCATGCTTGAAGATATTGATTTGATATTTGGTATATAATTTTATCATGACAAGTTACAGATCAAGTTCGAATTTTGTTCCGGTGTGATGATTTTGTGCAGAGTTATGGTCCTTGGACTTAGAAAATTCACTCAAATAATCAGTTTTCCTCACTTTTTTTCATCATGCTTGAAGATATTGACTTGATATTTGTTATATACTGTGGATTCATTTATTATCGTGGGTACCAATTTTCGTGGATTGAGGGAAACTAGCATTTTCGTGGATATTTGATTTCGTGGATTTGCCAATGTCAGTGTACAAAGCAATAAAACATTTGTAATTCGTTGAACATTTAAATTCGTGGATCCACAATAGTTTACACCATGACAAGTTATAGATCAAGTTAGCATTTTGTTCCAATACAATGACTTTTTAACCGGTAGGGGACTATGTATTGCCATGCAATACTCTCAGAATGCTTGTTTACTATAACTTTTTTTTGATTTGGTCAAATGGCTGGAAATGTGCATACAGTGCTAGTTATTTTATGGGTATACCAGGCCTACGGTCATAAAACTTATCAGTAATTGGATTACAAAGTTCGTGATCGAAACACCAAATATACAATAGTTTGATTAGTTGAATTCTGAGTCAACATTCGATAAACTTAATTCCAAATTTTGATGACCTCGAGGCCAGGTACACATTCTGTCCTATAATTTATGTCATTTCATGTAGTACAATACAATATAGATATGTTTTTGAAAGTAACATTTTGTATGACAGATGGTGATAACAAGGCATATAAGAACACACCAAGCCAAAAAATGTACTTAATAGGTCAACCTAAAAATATTTAACTTTAATAAATTATCATATTTGTACTATGTAAGATGTTGCCTTATTTTTTATTTTTTTCATCTAACATTTTATTACAGTATTTACTAAACCATGTGTCCCACATTCCCCCAAAAAGTTGATTTTATGAAAAGCATATTTTTATTACATGGCAATAAGTACAGTTCAGAAAATGTATGTATTTTAAAAAAAAAATGCCAAAAACATGTAGAGAATGAAAATCATTTATATACTGAGTGCAGAAAGTAAATGAAAATCATCTACTAACATTATATGATAATGACGAATAACCTATTTGTGACAGAATTCATTCCCTGTGTAGAAATTGTACAGAACCATTTTACCCTTTTAATGTAAAATACAGAAAATTTTCTGGACAAAGAGATCAGACAAAAAGCCAAAAAAAGTCTAGGCTTGTGTGTAGACTTCGGCAAAACCAGGAAATCAAATATCCACAAAAATACAATTTTTCCTAAATCTACAAAAAATGATACCCACGAATCCACAGTAAATCTTGGTTTTCTTTTTTTCAGCCACAAGTTCATTGGCATACTCTAGTCCTTCTGCAACTACAGTTACTACAGCTCCTAAGACACAACAACTAAGTACAAACTCATTGGTCCATTGTCTGATCAAACTAGTATCTAAAGATAACATGAAGGAATCGCAACTCAAAATGGTCTTCTCCTTACTGGCCACGCTGACTTTGTCATCAGAGTGTAGGAATATCATGTTTAAGGTATGTTTCTTGAAGTGCTTTAAAGACATATTGAGGCATATTTCTTAAGGAATAATTCTTGACAGCTGTAAATTTGTTGCTAATGCTAGGAAGCAGATTTTGCTCAAATAATGGTACATTTGTTAGAATTAAGAACTCACATTAATTTTTTTTTACAAGAAAGGAACATTAGTTATTAACATGACGTCCATTTTATTAGAATGGCTTAGATAGAAATTTTAAAAAAGCAGTCAGTTTTAAATACCAAATATGAAAACAGCTTCATTTTCTATGTTTTTTTTTTTTTTTTTTGTGATTAAGTTGCTGTTGTTGGTTTTCGCCTACATCTCTTTTCAGTAATATATAAAATATGTTTTTTTTTCTTTTAGAGTAATTTCTTAAGTGAATTTGCTGAGATGAACCCTAGAAAGACCAAGAAAACCAAAAAACAACAGTTTCTAGAAGTCTGTTGGTTAGAACTGCTTCTTAATTTATCTTTTTCCGTTGAAGGACAACAAATGATCTTGAAAATAAAAGGTAATTTTATACAGTAAAATATACACAGTAGACATCTCAGTAGTCTCCCTTACACTTCTTAAAGTTTAAGGATGTATTCTTCTGACGTTTCAGTTTCGTTGAAATCTCGTTCTGGAATTATTTCCGAAAAATGTGATACAAGTGGAAAATATCAATGAATTTAAAAAATATTACAATTAAACTTAATTCTGTGAAAAAATTGTGTATTTACAATAAGTAGTTTTTGAGTAATAAAATTTTCAAATTTTATAACCAATCAAGTCAGTCTCATTAGCCAAAATGTTGAAAAAATGGGTAAGGGGTACAAGAAATGATTTTACCAGATACATGTACATCCCATATCAATTTTTTCTTTTCAAATTTCTTAGATATGTATTTTTACAATCATTTATAACAAAGAAGTTGCAATAATATGCTTTTTGTTCTCAAAAAAGAGAAAAATCCCAAATTTTGACAATTGACAACATGGTAAATTTGACACGAAAAAGCAACAAAATTTTATAAAACTTTCTTATATTAACACCTACCCATAGTTTTTTTAAGTTAAATTTATTCAGATTGGTCCACTTCATCTTAAGCGAAAGTATGAAATTGTGAAACTGTGATTTTTTTCATGATAATAGCCCAAAAATGGGTAAAAATTGATGAAAAATTGGAAAATCATCAAAATTGGGTACTTTCAAATGGCTGTAGCAAAAAAAGAAGTGCACCACCATATGATTTTTTCTTCACCAATTATTTTTTTACAGTCATATAAAACCAAAGCTCAGTTTAAGAAAAAAAGTTTAATTCTACAAATTTTTGGCTCCTCAGAGGTGTACATCCTTAATCAACAAAGAAGAAATTTAGCCTAATGAAAAAAAGGTGTTATTTGAGTGTGTTGAATTACAAATTTATTCTAAGATGAAACTGTCCTTATAAGTTGAATTGCTTCCTTTGATAAGGTTGTGAAATAGGGGAATACTACAAAATTTGAATGTTAAAACTGATGACTGGTCGGAAGAATGCCAACAGGGTCGCATTATTTACAAATAGAACATAGGGGTTTGGCTGTTCACACAACAAGGTCTACCATGAAATTTTGGAAAAATCGGCCCACCATTTTTGCCCCTGAAATGTTTTTTTTTCTTTCTTTTTCTTTTTTTTTCTTAAAACAAAATTTTATAAACATTTACATATGTTAATAGATACATCAAGTGCCGTTACCTTATCTGGCCTTGTTAACATTAGTACAGAGCATATGTTATGGTTAGTTGTGTAAGTACACAAATTTTCATTAATTCGGATATAACTTGCGTCTACCCCTGAATGATTTTTTTCATTCCGCGCGCAACGCTCTAATTTGTACAATTCTTGCCAGATTGTTATGAAATTTATGTTATAGGTTTATATCATCAATGTCTTTGACGAGTTTAAAAATCAGTGCAGATCAATTATTTTTAAAAGAGTTAGGCCCCTTGGAAATATTGATTATATGAAAAATTACATTGTCAGCGTTCTCATGTGTACAATTATTGCTAGAATTTTATAGCACTTTAATCATAGGTTTATATCAGCAATGTCTTTGACACTTTTGAAAATAAGTGCTGATCAAATATTTTTAAAGAGATATGCCCCTTGGAAATATTAATTATAATGAAAATCATATTGCATTTGCTCTGAAGCCTTTATTTCTCTAAGATATTAATAAAAAGTTTTAAAGAACAAAAAAAAGTGCTTCTTTCTAGTTACTGCCCTTGTATCTTGGATAAATAGAATATGTGCTGCGCGGGGGACATTGGAACTTTGTTCTTTTATATTATTAATTGTTTTGTTTACAATTAGCTTGATGAACATGTGTAGTGCTATGGAATATATCTGATCAAGTGGATTAACGATGGAATTTTTCTACATATTTGTTTTGCAGAAATTCTGTTATAACGTCATGTTATTCTGTGTTAATTGTTTGATTGAAATTCATATGTGTTTTAAAAATATATTATCCACGGTAAAATTGGATAGTATTTTATCAGATGATTCAATTGAAGGTAATATTCATTTACTAAGTTTTCTTGTCATATTAGATAGCTTATCTTGAATATCATTGTACCAGTGAATGGTTAGTTGACAACAAAAAAAGGAAACTAGTAATATAACATAACAAGAATAAAACTAGTTGTAGAAAAATATAATCAAAGCTCTATACAAAAATTATTAAGTAAGTAAATATATAGATATTACAGTAATACAATCTATATCTGAAAGAAATGTTATTTTATCAAAATAGCAAGTTTATCTCATTATATAAATCAAGTTCATACCACTTTCCTCATATTTTTATTTTAAATTACTTTGTTTTTTTTAGTTGATTAAATAACTTACCCTCCTTAATAACTTACCAATCTTGTATCCTAAAAAGTTTCTTGTCTCAATATAATTTCTGATTTCGTGTCTAAATATCTTGAGTGACTGTATATTTTTGATTTTTTTGTCTGACATATAGTATACTTTATATATAGTGTAACTAGTTAAGGTTAGAAGTAAATTGAGTTCATAATATTCTTTATCATATACTTTATATCCAAAAACTATACTTTTCGGATTAATAGCATGTCTTCCAATGTATAAATTTTCAAGAATTTGTTGTACTTACTTCCAAAAGGATTCAAAATATGAGCATTTTAGAAAGAAATGGTCATAATCCTCTAATTCTTTACAGTGTATGAATCTGTTATAAAAATAGATTCAACTACAAATGTACAATTATGAACAAATTAAGATAATTCCTTGTTTAAAGTCCTAATTAAAAAACTAAAGATTTTTTCACAAGGTAAGCAATACAGGAACATGTGTGCCTCTTGTTTGCTTTCCTCTCAAACAGCCATGTATGCAGAACCTAATGTATTGATTTATTGTGTAAATTGTTATTGTCCTTTATATTCATGAAATACACAAATTATAAAAGAGCATACACATGAGTACATGCATTTTATTTTAAAAAAAGAATGACTTTAAAGAAGATTCGGGGAATCAAGGCTTTTTCCAACAAAATTTGCCTTTTTGACCAGTGTACTAGTTAACGATCTTAAAATTCTTTTAAAAAAATATGCCAATTTTTTTTAGCTGATATAAGTGGGACCTTTAAACTCATAATATCCTTTTTAATTTTTAGAATCAGTAGATTTATTACTAGACTTTATGGAATGTAGTCAGGGAAAACCAGCAGAAGTATCAACACTTATTATCAGAAACTTGTGTTGTCATTCCAGTAATAAACCAAAACTTTTAGCCAATGGTAAGTACAATATTGGTCATCAGAAACTTGTTTCGTCATTCCAGACCCAAACTGTTAGCCAATGGTAAGCGCACGATTGATGACTAGACAATTGTTTGGTTAGTCCAGTTATAAACTAAAACTTTCAACTTTCAACTAGGGTAAGTGCTTCATTGATCATCAGAATCAGAAAATAATAAAGATAGGAAAATGTATAAGGCCACTTTTCTGGCCTATTGAATAGAAAATCAAAAAGTATTATAAAATCTACCAAATGATATCCTTCCAATGTTCATAAGACATGAGTGTGTCAGATATATATCCGTATTTATATTTTTGAATTTTGTCTTTCCGATTAGCAGTAGAGCTTCAAACGTCTGTCATTTAGTACAAAACAGCAAAAACTGCCATAAATAGCCTCTTTTTGAGATCTTGTCATTAATATTTAGATATGTGCAACAGCTTTACCAAAAAAGATAGTTTTCTACAACATGTATTCTTAAAAAGAGGTTAAAGTGTGTAAAATAAGTTTTGGGGTAAAGCTGTTCCTCATATACATTTTGACCAAAAACTAAGCGTGAAATCACCAAGTGACCTTTCTGCACTAAAGTGTCAAGATTATATTAACCTGTTTATTTATCTATAAAATTAACCTAATTATGAAAGTCTTGAATAAGTTTTTTTTTTTTTTTGCAATTGCAGGCAACAGATTGTTACAAATGTATGGTTTAAAATGTAAATAAATGAAATGCAGAAGTTACAACACAATATAAAAATAGCCATTAAAGTGAAGTTTAAATGGTTTTTGTCAGATTCTGAAGTCATTTTCATAGTAAAATGATAAAAAGTATTCCTATTGGATCCCAACCTGAAGGATATTTTTGTGAAAGGAGATCCATATACTAATACCACTCAGTAATAAGAGAGAAAAAGGAAATGAGCTTATAATCCCCATAAACTACATATAATATTTTACTGTAAATTCAGAAATTAATGCGTGCATTTTTTATCACTAATCACTGATTACTGATAAAAATGCAAGATCTGATTAATGTGATTGCAAATATTTATGTGAAGGAAAAGTGCTAGTAAAAGTATGAATACAAGTTTTCATTATTGCGAACCATATTCTGCCATCAGTACTACACACCCACTGAGAGTGGGGGAGTACACTGCAATCACCTTTTCCATCCATATGTCCATTCTTAAGTTCATAACTGGTTAACCACTTAATTTGAACAAAAGATGCCATGTAATTTGGAATGTAGGGTCAAAATGTGTTGTTTTTTTCCCCTAATTTCAAGTTTTTTTCACATTTCTCGATCGGTGTAAGAAAAACATTTCTCATCTCTACAGAAAACTTTGTTCTCAGCAAATGATTGGTCGAAATTTAATTATGACGTCGAATTTTCTTGGTTTCTTCTGAATTTCCTATTGTGACGTCATGAAAAAAGGCGACCATGCCTGATGACGTCACATAAAAAGAACACATCTTTCTGCAAATCTTTGAAAAGGAAGGATAAACTTTGTTTAGATATTGTCTAAGAAATCATTAGAGAAACAGATTCCACCACTATAACTCGTGTATTACGATATTTCTCCACTCTCAACAGTTAAATTTTAATCATTTAAAAGCTTGGCAAGCCTCGCGCTTTAAACATTAAAATTTAACTGTCTCAAGTGGAGAAACATCGTAACACACTTGATGCAGTGGTGGAATCTATATTTCTTCTACGATAGCCACTAATGTTGGATGAATACTACCACTCAAGACCTAAAAAAAATCACCAAATTGACAATACAGCAGTAGAATGTTCCAAATCTCTCGTAAAACTTCAATTGAGGACAGAATTCACACAAATCTTTACATGTAGGCAAGTTTCATATCAGATTTTATTAGAAATTAAAACTAAATACAATTCTAGATGTACAATTTGACTTAAAAACATAAAACATGGATATAAAATCCTACTGTATACATTAAAATCATTTACAACTAGACAAATCAATAATATTGTAATGTTATGAAAGTGAAATTTTTAAAGGTAATCATTTTCTCACTGTTGGAACTAAATACCTTGTTTAATGTTGAAACATTTGTTACTTAAATTGTGTTTTTTTTAATCAATAGTGAGATATTTCAACGGTAATCCTTCTTTCACTGTTAACATCATATTTTTTTTATGTCATGTATGTTGAAACATTTGTTATACTAAAATAGAATATGTTTTTTGTATCACTCAGAAGCTTTAAAGGATTGTTGTTATATGTTGTTTAACATTAAAAAAAATGTTTCAACAAAAGTTACAATAGAAATATTAAAATAACAATGTAAATGTGGTTTCCTGCAGATTCTTGGTCAATTTTATAGAAAATAATCTAAAATTTCACTTTCAAAGTGTTGTTATGAATGTATGGTTTAAAATTAAAGCAAATGTTAGACAGAAGTAAAATAAACAAATGTAAAAATTGCCATTTAAATGGGGTTCAAATTGTTTCATTCAGATCCTGAAGAAATTTTACATTGAAAATAATATTAAAAACATCTTTCATTAATAATGATCAATTCAGTATACTTTATCATTGTTTTTTATGCCCCACCTAGGGGCATTATGTTTTTCGATCTGTTCATCCATTTGTCCGTCTGTCCCGCTTCAGGTTAAAGTTTTTGGTCAAGGTAGTTTTTGATTAAGTTGAAGTCCAATCATTTTGACACTTAGTACACATGTTCCCAATGATATGATCTTTTTAATTTTAATGCCAAATTAGAGTTTTGACCCCAATTTCACGATCCACTGAACATAGAAAATGATAGTGCGAGTGTGGCATCCGTGTACTATGGACACATTCTTGTTTTTTTATGATAGATCATGAATTCCTGATACCAATACAATCCTCTACAATAATTCCCTCAGTAATGAAAGAGAAAAGAGGAAAAATACCTTAAAATGCTCCAAAAAGTCAACACAACAGTTGTTTTTCGTAAATTGTACTGTTGTAAATTAGGCGGTTAGTTTACTCGTTTGAATTGTTTCAAATTTTTTATGTCAGGGCATTTTATAGCTTACTATACAGAGAGTGTTTTTCTCATTGTTGAAGTATGGTGACCTATAATTGCTAATATCCACATCATTTGAACTCTGATGGATAGTTGTCCCATTGGCAACCATACCACATCTTATTTTTATATAATATATTCTATTTCACAATTATATACCTTTTATCCTTGCAGATAAATTATTACCAGAAATAATGAAATGTGTAGATGGTGGAATAGATCCCTTACAGAGAGTTGCCATTTCAGCCCTCTGGGCACTTGTGTACAATAACCAAAAGGTTAGTTTGTATATAAGTTTTATATAGAAAACTTTACACTGAAGATTACCTTATCTTTACTATCTAAGTCATCACAGGTTTTAATGTTTTGAAATAAATATTTACTTTTTTGACTTTTATAGAACAAAGCTTTCGTTTAGGTTTTAAAAATGTGGAAAATTGCAATCAAAAACAAAAAGTTTCAGAAAAGTAGTAGGAGTGGAAACGCAAGAAATAAAACTTCCGCGGATATTTCAAGGAATACTGATTCAAAGAAAGATGACCATTTTTTTAAATATACCAATAGAATTATGTACAGGGCCAATTTATAACAACAATTTTCCAGACAACAGATCTATTTCACAAATTCAAACTTTATTTTCTAAATGAAAGGCAGTGTTAGAAACCAAAACTTTCAACTCATGACAGTCGAATTAAAATAAAATCTATTTCTATCAAGCGGAAATTATTGATATTGTTAAATAAACAACACTCCTAACATCTTCAATCATTTTTGAATTTGATTACCACATTGTATCTGCAACACTGATTTTAAAATATGATCTAAAGATTAATTAATTAATTAGTCGTAAACCTTGCAGCTTCTAATTTACTCTTACTAAAGCTATTCTTTTATGTTAATCGTGTATGTGTTTTTACAAGTAAACATAAATGCAGCAGTTTAATTATACTTAATATAAGTCAACTTATAATTAACATGAAATCTACATTATAAAAATAAGGTGATGTGGTATGATGATCATTAATGATCCGACGAAAACTGTTCACTTTGTTTAGACACAAAGGTTTTTTGATCGATTTTAAACAATTGCTTTAAGATACATGTACAAATGTGCTGTTTCAAGATCATATACTAAATTTTGTACAGGCCTCCTACAAATCATAAATTCAAAACGACGTGAAATAAAATTCAGTTGGTAAATCGTAAAAATTTCCCGGTCTACAGTAGTTTTATAACTATGTTTTTATAATAGTTTTTGTAATGTTATATTACTCTTTTCCAGGCCAAAGTTATGATGAAGAATGCCAATTTGTTACCCAAACTTCAGGAGAAGATGAATAATATGTATAACCAACAGGCATTACCAGAAAAATGTTTAACAGACTTACAGTGTGTCATAGAAGCTGTGTCAGAATAACATTGGGACAACTTTATGTTTTTAAAAATATTCATTACAACAGAAATATTGATGTGTTAACCTATTTTTATGCAAGTGGTTATTTTCAGTTTCAGTTTATCTAAGTAGTTGGTCTAGTAACTGCTAGATTTGGACTCTACGAAAGACTTTGGGTAAAAAATGTTCCTCAAAGTTTTCTATGAAAAAGGAATGATTTTATATTTGGTCTTCATCATGATAATGTGTAGCTGAGGTGTATAAGCAATTTTCACATCTGCCATTCAGCCACTTCCTGTTTGTCAATAGTTTAAAATTTTACACTACTTGTTGTACAAGGAAAACTTCCATCAAAATTTTCTTGGCTTCAATGACTTTAGGGAATGATCAGTTATGCTTCAGTATACATGTTACCTCAATAAATTGCATGCAGCAATGCAGGTCAAAACAGGGTATTGGTTTTATATAAATTTAAACAAATTAGAAAGTGGGACTGAGTTAATCTGAAGATAAAATCATACCAAATTAGCTGTTTCACTTGAGAACATTGATTTCAATATCTCTTAGTTGTTTAAGAAATAGCTTTGGATGGGAATTAAATTTAACTGACCATTTGCACAAAAATTGGAATAACACATAAGTGTTTTAGTTGTTGAATTAATTTTTTGAATTGTCTTCAAAGATTGGTTCCTCACTAGGATTTCTTTTTCATACTAGTAGATTTTAAAGTCAGCTAATCTTCTATTATCTATATATTATAGAGGATGGTGCTGCCTACTGATTTATGAATATTCATAAGTGATAAATGTCAAGTCTGATGGCAGGTGGGTACGACTCCAATCTAAATTGACTAGTTTTGTCATGGTTCTCTACGGGCACTCCAGCTTCCTCCACCAATAAAAACTGTCTGCAACGAAATCACCAATAGTGCTGAAAGTGGCATTAAACACCAAATAATCAATAAAGTCTGATTAAGCATTTTCATTTATCAATGATGCATACAATCAACAAATATTTTGAAACCAGGCTTTTTGATTTTGTCCAGTTGTTTTGAATTATTGAGAATAAGGATTTTTTTTTCTCTCCCAAGAACGTTTTATGTTGTGTTGTTCAGCATATGAAATTAATTGAATTAAACTATTTCTGTATCACTTATGTTAACTATACCGTCCAATTACTTATTTATAAACTTTTGTAATGTTATAGAATTATTTTATATTTATTTGTATATTATATATGTATAAAAGAGCCTAAAGACGCATATTTATTATAAATATGATGTTTTTCAGTAACATTAAAATAAAACAAAATACATATTTAACTTATTTTATTTCCTCCAGTATAGCCTATTATGTTTCCCTTCCACTCAGAGGACCTCCACAAATGATTCCAACTTTTAATAATAAGTGGATATTTCTAGAAAAAAATGGGCAAATATTTGATTAAATATTGCTGTCATCTATTATCGCTAGTTTTAGGATGGTATGTTTTTCAGATGGCTGTATTCCTAATTTACATCCTCCAATAATCAAAAAGGTACGCCACTACTGAAAATATTATACCCCAACTCTAAGAGGGAGAGGGGCTATATTGAATTCAACATGTCTGTCCTTCCATTCATCCTTTTGTCTATCCATCAGTTTGTCCTTTAGCCGAGCAAGTATGTCCGTCACACTTTTTTCAGTTACTACTGAATGAACATAATGACTTCATATTTGGTCAGCAGCTTGAGTTGTATTGTGCGAGTAATTTTTTGATCTGTCAGACACACAGTTCTATTTTCTGATACTAAGAATAACTAGTGGGGGATGCTCAGCATGACAATGCATGTATTCTTGTTTCTATCTATGACCTTATTAGGCATGTTTTCTGTAATTAATGAGCCAATCAACCGGAACAAATGCATTCTCATGCTATAGTTGTCTAGTTGTATATTTTTATCAACTTTTCCATACACCCACTCACACACTCCGTGATTTAATACATTCACCTTGATCGTCTGTTATAAAGGGGCATAACACAAGATGGGTGTTAGTGGTAATAAGCATTGTGTAGAAGGTTTAGAACATTGGGTTGTGGCAAAGTAAGGTTAGAATGCAGAAACTGCAAATTCAGTAATTTTTCCATTTATGAAAGGACATAACTTGAGAACGGTGAAAGTTTCATGACATTTGGTTGAGGCAAATTAAAGTGAAGAGAACAGAAACCAATTTCCGGACATATGTATGGATGTACAAAGGTAAACCTTTATGACCCCTACGCATGGCTAAAAATGTACCAAACAAAAGAAAAGATTTCTACCATAAGGAGGCGGGTAAAAAAAGAGGTAACATCAATACACAGTTTATTTGTTTATTACTAAATGTACATCATAAAACATGCACAATCAGTTTTGTATATAACAATAGTCATTGGTCATGACACATTTTATTAAAAAGCAATTAGATTTAAAGATATATAATATAAAACAGAAAACTAAAATAAAATTACAGTGAAAAGTATATATCTTAGATGGGAAGAAATAATGCTGCAAGTACACTAAAAATTCTAATATATACAAATATGGTTACTTAATATTGAATTAATGATAAAAAAAAAAAATGATCACAAAGTAATTGTAAAAGCATGCAAATATCAGTTCTGCATGCATTATTAAGACTATTTCATAATTTGTCTTTACATTTTATGACAAAAGTTAAAAAAATAAACTGCTTTGCTGAGCGCAGCTGGATACGACTGCAGAGGTCCAACCCTGAACAGTTTGGGCAAAAATAGACACAATATTCAAGCTTGATACAGGTCTGAATTTGGATTGTAATTAAATATAGGTTTCTGACACAGAATAAATGTAGTCAAAGAACTTGAAATTGGTTGTATGATTTGAATTTATATTCAATTGAAGATTTCTTGCTTTTATGCAATACACTGTGCTATTGTGCAATACTTAGTAAATCTGTTTTCAGACTATATACAAACGAATTAGAAAAATAAATTGTGACCCCCAATTTTTTCTTTGGAAAATTGACAATTTCTTAAATCTTGAGGAAAAAAAAATAATATTTGAATTTGGATTGTAATTAAATATAGGTTTCTGACACAGAATAAATGTAGTCAAAGAACTTGAAATTGGTTGTATGATTTGAATTTATATTCAATTGAAGATTTCTTGCTTTTATGCAATACACTGTGCTATTGTGCAATACTTAGTAAATCTGTTTTCAGACTATATACAAACGAATTAGAAAAATAAATTGTGACCCCCAATTTTTTCTTTGGAAAATTGACAATTTCTTAAATCTTGAGGAAAAAAAAATAATATTTGAAGAGAATTTTCTTTTTAGGAAAAAAAATTGCCCCCCCCCCCCCCTTTCCAAAAAAAATAATTTTGAAGAAATTTATTTTTGTAAAATGTACAAATTAAGAGACATCCATACACTTAAACACAAGTTATTGTCTGAAAACTAGAAAACTGCTTGTTTTAGACCCTTTTAGACCCCTAATTCCTGAACGGTTTGGGCAATTACCCCCAAAATGAATCCCAACCTTCTACTAGTGGTATTGAACATTGTGGTACAATTTCAGAGCAATCAAAGTTTTTTGCGGTCATATAAAAACAGCAGGAGCACCATGAATGTATTAAACAAGTAATATTTTTAATGAATTTGTGGAAGAAGAAATTAATATTTTTACCGGATTTTTTTTTTTTTTGCCAGGGGGTGGTGGAGAAGGACTTGATCGAGAATGTAAAGTATGTTGACTTTTTATATCAAATGATGGAAAACAATAAATAATTTGCCTAATTTCAACATATCAATTGCTGCTGAACATTGACCTCAAAATCAATAGGGTCTTATTCACCTTAAGTCATATCATACAACAAAGTTTGAGAAGGCATAAAAGTGTTTTCAAGCTTTTATAAGATCTGTGATGATGACCTTTGAAATACTGACCCAAATTTCAATGGGGGTCTTGTTCATCCCAAAGGATATTTTCCAACAAATTTTGGTGAAGGTTGGACATTTGTTTATAATAGATGAGTTTCCAATTTTCGATTTTAAAATGAACAGCCACTATTGAACTGGGTCAATTACGGGGAAAACGAGTTGTAGGATATTGTGATGTTAAAATATTTACTGTTTTGTTTTGTGACGTCATTTTTTTTCAGGATTAAGCATCAGTTGGAAGATCATTTATATATATATATATCCATATATATTCCTTAAAAAAAGTTTGAATAATTATTACTTATATTTTATTTTGATTTCATGCTCCTTATCTACATTACATCAATAATCAATTTGTAACATAACTTTCAGTTGTAATTAAATATACAGGTGACAAACTCTATAACACTATTCATAACACAGTTTACCAATCAGATTGTTTATATTCAAATATACAGATACTAAACTCTTTCACTACTTATGACACAATTTACCAATCTTATTGATTATATTCCTGTTTGGATGGTATCTTAATGCCTTTTCAACTGAAAGCTGCAATGTTCTGTTGCCAGGAATTGATATGCCAAGTTTACTTTCTCTCCCTCCATTTATAGCCAATATTTCACACAAAAAATCTTGAATAAAATTGAATGTTAATTTATATAAATTCTTTACGAATAACAAGTAGCTTTCATGATAAGATTTCATTTGAAAGGTATGCCTGATCAAGCACTACAAAGTCTCTTTAACTTCACTTAATATATTAAACAAGAATTATCATCCTTCATGGAATAGAATAGATAAGGTGTATTAACGAATGACTACATACACAATATGTGGATCCAGTATTTTGAAAAAGGGGGGTAGCCCCATGAGACCCACTCCCACTCCCTAAATCTGCCTCTGTGCACACAAGACCATAAGCAAAGGAACAGTACTTTTATTGCTGTGATTATGATTTCTAAACACCCTATTTTTACTTGTTGGGTATAACAAGGAAGTTACTTCCATTTCATCACCTTTATCCAAGGTATTTGGGAGGCCTTGGTGGCCGAGTGGTCTAAGTAGTCGAAATACTGTATCACTAGCCAGTCAACACTAAGGATTTGAGTTCGAATCCCGCAGGGGGCAGGTGCACTCGACTCCAATCTTAATTGACTAGGATTGTCAGTTTTTCTACCGAAGGTCGATGGTTCTCTCCGGCTTCCTCCACCAATAAAAACTGACCGCCACGAAATAGCACAGTAGTGTTGAAAGTGGCGTTAAACATCAATCAATCAATCCAAGGTATTTGATGACTGGTCCCCTGTGTCTATTAATATGCATAAAAACTAGTGGTTCACTATGTAGGGGCAGATCAAGGATTTTAGGAAGAAGGGGGTGGCATTGTTCCAGAAAACAGAATATATTCGACAAAGGATTTTATGCTAAAAAAATCATATAAATTGTGAAAACATGGCAATCAAAGGGTACGCCCCCTATCACCTAGATCTGCCACATCTAATAACATGCATAAAATATTAGTGGTGTATAACTTAACAAAGACATCAACAAACAATTTAAACAAAGATATAAAAAAAACTCTTATATAATATTAAAATATTTCACATAAAAACTACCAGACAGACACTTCAGCAGATCAGTTTAGGGTCAAACATAATTAAAACAATAATCTTGCTAAAATAGAACATCTTACAAGGACTAGAACATTGAAAGAAACTAAATGCAGATGCTCTTTTAGTGTCGTTGTAGAAGATAAATATGAAGTAGACCCAATCTCATAAAATAACAATTCACTTTGAAGTATTCTAAAGACATATAACTGATTGATTTCCCATATCACAAAAAAATTGATTGAGTGTTGGTGTTATACACCATTTTCAGCATGCTAGGCTATTTTGTTGTGGAGGCAAGAGTGCCTGGAGAGAACCACAACTCTCAGCAGGAAAACTGTCAATCGTAGTCAATTAGGACTAGTATTTAAAGCACCTTGCCATGAGCAAATTTGAAAGCATAACCTTAGTGTTGGCAGGCTAGTGATCACTGTAAATTAACTACCTCGACTACTTAGCCACCTACATATACAGAAATCCTATTCATATGAACTAACAACTTATAGGTATTGCTTTTCAAATTCCAATTCTTTCTATGTGTGTTTAAGACAGAAAAAAATCATTTATAATGTTTTTGTTACTGACTAGTTTCATTTCTGAATTTTAAAGACCCATTATTCCTCTAAATAGAACAGTATAATATCAAATATACTGTGGATTCATTATTATTCATGGGATACCAATTTTGGTGGATTTCATGAGTACATATTAACCACATTTAAATGTTCAAAGAAAGACAAATTTTCTATAGGGTTGTATGCAGACTTTTGCAAAACCATGAAATCAAATATCCACAAAAATGCAAAATTTTCCTCAGTCTACGAAAATTGGTAACCACGAAAATAAATAAATCCACAGTAGATATAGTTATCATATAAATATTATCATGACTGATTATATGATAGTTGACCAATGTCTTGATAATTCTCTTGATTTCTGTTATGATTTTCCCTGTCTGATAATTTATCTGGAGAGCTGTTTAATTCTGGAGAATGTCCATTATTTTGTGACCTTGACCCAGAATGTCTTGTGGCACCCTCTATAATGATATCAGGAGAATGATGTTGTAAGGAAGATGAATATCTTATGTCCTGTTGATATGGTACAGAATTATCAGAAGGTGACAAATTTGTATCATAATGACCTTGACCTTGATAAGCTGTGTTCCTATAGGACACATTGTCAACTGAATGCACTGAATGAGGTCGCAACTGTGCTGTAAAATTTATTGATTCTTCAGCTGGAACAGATGTTGGTCTTTGATTTGTTGAACATCCAGCTTCGTCCATATGTGTCAATAAATGATTCAATATTGGACGGTTCTGGCCATGTGACTGATAATTTTGCACAGTGAGTGGCAACAAGCTTGGCAATGACTGTTGACCTCCATTTTTGGAGTTGCTTAGAAATGATGACAACATAGCTGCATAAGATTCTGCTGAATTAAATTGTGATAAGTGTGCCGGTAATGGTCTTGATGAATAATCGGCATGATCATTTAAATATAATGAATTCTGTTCTGCATAGGAAGTTAGTAAATCGTTAGGATTAGAAAATAAGATATCTTTAGAATGTTTATTTGCATGGAGAGTTATTGGTACTGGGTTAAGATTTGATAAGGCAACTTCTTGTTCTTGTTGATAACTTGATCCTTCTGTTTCCATAGCAATGGGTGTGACTGGTTCCTGATACTGTTGCATTTCAACAATAATTGCAGGATTTTGTGATGTTTGGTATGATAATTCATTGTCTTTATGTGATGACTGGTTTCCTGCTGAACTCAAATCAATCATTTCACCATTGCGTGATTTTTCTAACTGTGCTTCTCTGGATGCTTGCTTAGCCATTTCCAACAGTTCTGGAAAACTTACATCCTGCAATTCCTGCAAAAAAACACAAGTTTTAACCACTTCTTTGAGGTAACATAAAAAAGTTGTTCACATATATTAGTGTGGACACACAGAATGTCTCAACAAATAATGCATCTGTTTCAATCTTATTGACAGTTTATGAAATTTTGGTCTTTCCCATAGCAGTTTAATAACTTTACCCTTTAAAATGAATTTACAGATTAAATATATAGTTGAAATATATTGCTTATATTAACTAAGGGTACTTTAAAACTGGGCAAAGAAGATACCTAGGGGGCAACCAAACCATAATACACCACCATGGCCAAAATGAAAAAGACAAATAGTTAAACATCAATCAACAAAACACAACACAATAAACTAGACTTGACAACATAAACCCCACTTAAAACCAGGGGGACTCAGTTTCTATTAAAAGGTAAGCAGATCCTGCTCCACCAATGAGTGACACCCATCATGTTGCCCATGGAAAATCTACAAAAACAATCGACTGATTGAGGCTTACTAAACCTCAAGTGGTAATTATTTCATGCATATTTAGGACGAGAAAAAAAGCAGAAAAATAAATCTAGCAAAAAAAGGCTCAGAAATATTTCGTCAAATCCTATATTCAACTTCCTTAAACTTTAACAGGAATAATTCCAATTCAATAAATCATAACCAATTAATCCCTGTCTGGACATCTTTGTATTTTCTACCTGTGATTTCTGAGTAATCTGGAGGTGATGTTTGTCAGCAATCTTAGCTGGTAGTTCATTACAGTTTCGAGGTGGGAATACAATATCACTGAATCCTTTTCCAGTTTCTATCGCTTTTTGTCGAAGTTTAGGTATAGTCATGACTTCAACACCATGTTTGCCTCTTAAATGTTTGTCTAAATTTCCTTTCAACTTGCAAGAATATTCACAAAGATGGCACTGATACGGTCTCAAATTCTACAAAAAAATAAGATACATTAACTAAAATGAATATGCTACAAACAGTTACATGCTTTAATCATATGGTCAGCAACTGTTTTCACAATACGTATACTACTGTAAATTCAGAAATATTGCATGCTTTTATTATCACCTTTTTTGAAGAATAGACAAAAATGCAAGATCATTTTTTACGATTTCAGAAAAATCTGCATGAAGATATTTGTATCAGATACCAGAATTCAAGTTCTTATTATTGGGATACTCACCCAGTCCCATTATTCACCTTAATAAAAATCACTCAATATTTTTTTAAGAAACAGCTGGTTATAATGCATAAAAGTTTATGCTACAAAATGAATAGAAAATTACAAAGGTCTCAAAGGAAGTAAGGACTTTTAAAATCAAGAATCAGATTGGAGATTGACTATTCAAGTCAGAGCATCATAGCCCCCACCCCCACAAGACATCTTACCTACAGGCCTGATTTGTATTTCCTGTTACATTGTTAAGTAATCTTACCTTATGTGTATGCATGCCTGCTATATGGTTCTTCATGGTGTGTTTAAACTTGGTAGAATATCCACATCCCTCAAATGGACACACTATAATTTCTGATTCTGAATAAAATATAAATCATATTACATACTTTCTGATTGTCTTATTTCAAGTTTGACTAGGTTTAACATTTTTTCTACAAATTTGTAAAATTTCTTTACTATTATGAGGAGAAAAAAGAACCTATAAATTTCATAGAAATATTCATTTTTGTAATTTCTATTTTAATCAAAAAAAAATTACAATTCAACAAATTACTTATAAATATCTACTTTAAGCAATTTTCTACAAACATATCTCTACAGATTCAAAATTATATTAATTTATAATGTGGATTCATTTATTTTCATGGGCACCAATTTTCATGATTTTAGGAAAACTTACATTTTCATGGATCATGTGAATATTTTAATTTCATGGTTTTGCCAAAGTCTACATAGACGCCTATACAAAATTCATATTACATTGAACTCTAAATTAGTGGTTCACCTGAACCCACGAAATTAACGAAAATTGGTATCAGAATAATAATGAATTCGCAGTATCTAGATAGATTTCTAACCATTTCAGTCCATATTTTTTTTACTTACTGTGTCTTTTCTCATGAGCTTTAACATTCTGTATGTTGTAAAAACCTTTACCACAAGTTGAACACATAAAACTTTTCTGTAAACCATCCTCTGGAAAAAAGAATATTTCTGATTTTACCTCTTGTTATTGGTATAATTACTATAGTAATCCTAATAATAAGTTCCCTGACAGCTCAGAAAATTAAAAATAAATTGTTAAAAACATTTTGTTTTTGTTATTCTATAACTCTTCCATAATGTGATTTCCTGTTTTGCTAAGTGAACCACAAAGGCTGTGTCGATACCCTAATTTAGCATACATTTTAAAAAGTTCACATCATAACAAAAATGTTCAATATTTTTAGTTTTTGTGACCAAACATTCAAATCTACCTTAAAACCATAACTTGAAACAGGATGGTCTAATAGACAGAAGGACAACCACATCGACCAGAAAACATATTGCCCCCCCCCCCTACTGATGTAGGCAGGGCATAATAAAAACAGCTCAACGCTTACTATATTATGGGTGTAGTACCTAGCTCATTGAAGACTTGTAGCAAACTTTAATATTTTTTAAGGTAGCAAAGGCCCCATGTTGACGGCCGTACTTTGACCTATAATTGTTAACTTTTTACACATTGTGACTTGGATGGAGTGTTGTCTCATTGGCACTCATACCACATCTTCTTATTTATATTTAGGATATTGCCTTTTAAATCTTTTTCCTTTGTTATTACCGATTAGTTCAATGTTTATTGGACTTTCAAGAAACTTTCCAAAAGCCAAAATCTGATTTTAAAATTACAATTGAATACAATTTATTGTGAGAAAACAATCTGTTACTTTAATTGACAACCATTTTCAGCTTTAATATCCAGTTATGTTGGAAAGGTAAAAGACCCTTGATATTTTTTTTTTATTTGTATAAACCAAATGTTATCTTTTAATCAACAGGGATTAAAAACTGCCTATCATTGACTCTTCATTGAGCTTCATTGCTGCAAAGCAGTTCTACTTTCCAACAAGGAAAATAAACTGCTTCAAATTATAATTTTAGAGTTAAATTGACTGATTAATTGGTTGTTGATTAACGCCTCTTTCAGCACTATTGTGCTATTTTATGGTGGTCAGTTTGTATTGATGGAGGTAGCTGGTGTGTCTAGTGGGAACCACCGACCTTCAGTAGGAAAACTGACAATCCTAGTCAATTAAGATTGGAATCGAGTGCACCTGCCACGTGCTGGATTCAAATTCACAACTTCAGTGTTGACAGGCTAGTGATACAGTAGTTTGACTACTTAGACCACTCGACCACCAAGGCCCCTACAGTTAAATTAATGATTCTGGAAAAGAGTTTCTTGAAAGGGCTATGGTATTCAGTAAGAATTGTCAGGCAGGAATTCAAACCTGTACTTTCTTGTAACATTTAAATAGGAACAATCTATCTGCCAGGATACTATACCTTGATGCAACTGTTGATGTCTGTCATAACAAGATCTAGTCAGTGTGAAGTAATCACATTTCTCACATTTATACCTGCACAAAAAATATTTAAAAGAACATTATAGAAATACCATTAATAAATGTTTTTATTTTAATAACACTTCAAGTTTTAAAAAATTTTAACCTTACAAACCAATCATTTCAACACTTTTTTTTAAAGGCCCTGGAACATTCTTAACAGATTCAAGCAGTTCATGAGTTGCAAGGTAAAGATTGATTTTTGCTTGTTTTACACCCAATAGCAAATATTTCATGCATATTTAGAATAAGCAAGAAAGCATATACTGTTAATATAAATTTTGGCAATGTTATTCTGCAAATATATTATTATTCTAGGATTACTACTAATTAAGTGGATTTTGTTGTTACAGGTTAAAGGTTAACCACAAATTTAAATGTTCAATAGAATACAAGTTAACTACATTGTACCAGGAAACTTTAATCTAGAAAACATTTTTCACTTAGTTCATTCATAAGTTGAGTTTACTTTACAAAGAATTGAACATCATTAAACAGTCTAGAGATTCTTAAAAAAAAAAGTTGAGGTTTGAGCAGTCATTTTAAATCTTTACTTTACAAAGAATTGGACATAATTAAACAGTCTAGAGGTTCTAAAAAAAAATATGTAATGCAAAGTTTATTTTGTTAGAAATTGGCATACTTACACTTTACAAGATTTTGGTAATGGTATATCGTGTATCTTCAGCAGGTGATTGTTTAAGTCAGTTTTACTCATACATTTATAAGTACACAAATGACATAAGTACTTCTTATCTGATATCTTCAAATGTACATAATCTATGTGTTTCTGAAACAAACAAAAAAATAATAATTTATCGTTTTAAAGATTAAATCAAAGACAATATTGTTTGATTAAATCTAAGATACAGTCATATTTCTTAAATAACTGTTTTATGATGTTTCGATATCTTTAGTTGAAAATTTACATATACATGTATATATAGTCGACAAACATCTAGCCTCTTTTAAAAGTGAGGCAAAATTTATTCGCAGAGAGGTCTGGAAAAAATGATGCAAAATTGTGCATTCTGAGTGTTTCCCTGACCCTTTCTTAATCTGAAACGCAACTTTTGTTTTAATTATTTTTTCAACAATTAATATTCTGGTCTCAAAGCAAAATATATAGATCCAGTGTAAGACTTTTAGTTTTTAGGGACGACATCAAAAGACCGATATGTAGGATAAAGCAAAAATTGTAATTCACATAGTTACGTGTGTGGCTGCTGTTTTTTATGTTTTTTTTTGTTATTGTGTTTCGGCTTGCAGAAAAACGTATTATACCTGTCAATTCAGTTTTTTCAAATTAAGTTAAGATGGGGCTGATTATCATTGATACATGTATAACTATGTCAATTCGGTTTTTATAACACATTTCAATTACAACTTGATGTAGTTCCTAACTGGGATAAAAGGGTACACTCAGGAAACCTGTTCTTAGACCTCATTGCTACATTTTTGTGCTGTTTTAATATTAGACTGGCTGATTAATGTCAGATCTTGCTGTTCTGGTCTTGTATTGTGTTTAGACTTTGGTGTAATTTTTTTGTGACTTTGAAATTTATTCATAGTACAATACTTTAAGCATGTTAAGTGCTGCTTAAGTCAACGCTAGGGATCGTCTTGACCTTGTTGTAGGGTATGAATGATTCATTCATTGTTGAAGACCCTTCAGAGACTGTCAAGATGAAGAACAGGAATAAAAGCCCTGTTCATTGATAATTTGTATTTTATTCTATGTATTGTGTGCGATTTTGACCCTTGCACATTTACTCCATATCCGTTTATTTTCTATACAAGGGCCTGAACATGGCTTAATGCAAGTTTAGCCCTTCTATGTAAAAGGTCATATGGCAATAACTTAATTTTTCTCTTTGAATAATTTGATTCCGGGAGATTGGTTGTCTCACTTTAACTTAACCCATGTCAGCCTTTTAGTTTTATTTACAGAAAACAGAGCCAGTTTTATATTCTTTAATATAAAGTTTTAATTTTCCTTGAAAAAAACTACCAATTTTCTATGTCCGGTAGCATTGTATCTTCTCAAAACACTTTCTTGAACAATATCTGGACATCGGTAGACATGTCATATTGCCAAACCACACAACAGTTAACCCATCATCGTAGATCTTTCCCAAATCTTAAGTCTATGCAAAGCAGAGAATGAACGTTCACAATATACAGATGTTACGGGAAGAACCAAGAACCAGTCTTTAACCAATTTTCCAATGACATCTTGTCTGTGTTCAAACCGTTAAAACTAAGTCACTACTTTACCAAATTAGACTATTTACCGGATTTGTAATAAAATAAGCAACACGACGGGTGCCACATGTGGAGCAGGATCTGCTTACCCTTTCGGAGCACCTGAGATCACCCCCAATTTTTGGTGGGGTTCGTGTTGCTTAGGTTTTAGTTTTCTATGTTGTGTCGTCTGTACTATTATTTGTCTGTTTGTCTTTTTATTTTTGGCCATGGCATTGTCAGTTTGTTTTCGATCTATGTGTTTGACAGTCCCTCTGGTCTCTTTCGTCCCTCTTTTACATTTGTACATAAATTTTATACTTTGTATGTTAATTTATTTGTATATGTCTCTATACCGTTGTACTTTGGTTTACGAGAAAAAATATATATATATGAGATGAAATAAATCATAATCGGGGCTTGCGCAAGTGAATAGGCTTGGGCTATTGACTGTGTAAATATGGACAATGTTAGCCATACATTGCAACAAACTATTATTTAAAATTATCAACACTATAATCTGCCATATACAATTATCAAAGGAATAATAGACAACTGAAGCCTTAGTCATAAAGATTAATTGATTGATTGGTGTTCATTTAACGCCGCCTCAGAACAAAAAGGCGAGAGCTAATTTCAAATATTTTTTCCATTTAAAGTAGTTTTTAAAATTAGACAAAAGGTCCTCAAATAAATAAAACAAAGTTTAAAACAAAATTACTAATTTACAAATGAAATTCAACACAAAGAGAATAGTCATAAAGAATGGCAATCAATCAACAAAAGACAAACCCTGGAACAGATAAGACACATAAAGACAAACAATAGACAATCAACAATGAAAACTAAAAATTAAATGAGAAACCTGGATCCCGAAAAAACAGGGGCGACGTCAGAGGGTGAACAAAACTTGCTTCTTACAAGACACATGCCGTGAAATCAATTTGATATGAAGACAAGCTCTTGTTTCAACTTCTTTTTTTTTTTTAAATTTCCAACAGGAGGCATTTGCCTCATTTGCCTCAATGTAGTTATGGCCCTGTCAGAGCTACTTTTAATGCATTTTCTCTTTTTCTTTATCTATATAAAATTAAGAAGATGTGGCATGATTTCCAATGATGCAACTTTCCACCAGAGACCAAATGACATAGAAGTAAACAACTATAGGTCACCTTATGTATCCATGAATGACATGTAAACCAAATTTGTATGCATATAAATATATAAAACTTACCTTCAAATTACATGAATGTCTGAATGTTTTACTACATTCAGTACACTTGTAATGCATTTGTGTTTTATCATCAGGATGAACTGTTTTCATGTGGTATTTGAGCTGAGGTGCAGATTTACAACCTTTATTACACAAGTCACACACATATGATCCAACTTCTCCATGTACATCACTGTAATGGGTCCTCATCTTGTATTCAACGATTGTTGAAAAATCACAATTCTGAAAATTATCATTAAAATTTACTCCACATTTCCTTACTCATATATAGAATACATTTACATAAGTAATATAAAAACATATAAGCATTCATTGGTAAAAATAAACAAGAAAAGTTAACATCTTCATATTTTGCATTTTTTGTGGATTTCACAGGGTAGTGAACTTTTTTAATCTCTTATATTCTACACATGGTACTTGCCTCTTCAATTAAATATGTAGCAGGCTCCAGTCCAGTAGGGTACCCTCCTTTAAGTCATAAGGTTTGTGTTTAAAATTGCCTCAGGTAACCAGGTCAATTTTTCAGCAAATTTAAGATTTGAACAATTTTAAAGGTCACAGGTTACATGTCATTCTAAATGAAAAGTCAGCAAGCAATGTCGCCCACAAAACCCCCCAAAGGTAGCAGGTTGGATTTGACCATGTTTGGCCCACATACATTGCTGTTATCATTACCATGATCACTGTTTTTTGTGCTACAAGTATGAAGTCCATCCGAATATTAAATGTCTTTAAATGGCAATTTAAGTAGTACAATTCTCATGATACTTGTAAATATATGTAAGAAATTATATAAAATTACTAATATTGGTTCCACAGAATAAAAATTCTTTCAAAGTACAAATTTATGTATATATAAATTACCTATGTCTATATACTTACTGGCATATCACACATAAGAACCTGGTACTTTTCTACATCATATCCAATATTATGTTTCTTATATTTATGTTCTATCAGATTAAGCCATGTGCTCAAAACTTTGTCACATAATGTACATGTTAAATTTTCTCGTTTACCACCAGGATGAATCAATTTACGATGTTCTTGTAACAACTCATTTTTTGAAAATTCGTCTTTACAGAGTCTACAAACAAATTTCCCTGCCTTCTTCTGTTTAGTTAACCTGTCTGCTGCTCTCCTCTTTGTACCCTGTCTTGTTGACAAAACCTCGTCATCGTCAGTTTTTTCAGACAAAGTATCGTTAGATATAGTTTCCTCTAATTGGTCTTGGTCTTCGTTATCAGTTAAAGAGTCATTTGTACTTGGAATATATCTTTTGGTATGCATGGGTTTTCTCTTATTTTGGTGTTTTTTCCTTCTGTGTTCTAACAACTGTTTCTTGTCTTGAAATTTCTCTTTGCATAAGGCACAATTAATCATTTTTTCATTTATACTAGTCTCTTCAATTTTTTGTTCTTGACTGTTATTTTCAGAAACTTCAGCCTTTTTATTTTTACTCTTCTGTCCTTTAGATTTTGATTTTTTGTCAATGTTTATATCATTTGTTACCATAGCAATATCAATGTGACAGTTGGTTGATGCATCTGAGATGCTAGTACTATCTTTTTCTTTTTCATTAGCAGCATCGACCTTTGTATCCATAGCAACATTATTATTATTTGACCTTGACTGTTCTAGCTGATCAATAACTGCTGCTTCTAACTGCTTTAAACTTAAATCACTTTCTGCAGTTTTTGATTCTTGTGTGTCATGTTCGTCTTTATTTTGTTCAATACATATATGGTCTCTGTTTTCAATTATAAAAGTTTCACATTCTTTAACTGCATCATCCAAAGCAAGGGTCAGACACAGGTTATGAATTCGTTTCATATTATCACCTGATATGCTCAGTTCCCCCGTGTATATCAACTGAACAATTTTTAGCATATCTTCACTTTTCTCCTTTGTAAGATAAAAATTAGCTTCCGGAGTTGTATGAATGTTTCTGCTGGACTCAATCTCCCTGAAGTGTTTGCTAGCAGCTACTAGTACAACTCTGTGTGCAGGGATGTATCCATCTGATGTGAAAATCAGCACATCACATAAGTAACGCTCTTGCTGGAACTGATATAAAGTCTCAGATACACCACACATCATGGACGGAACACTTAAGGTTGTCAATGCCATTTTCTTGGATGTTATCTGCAAAGATTTTATTTTATTTCAAACATGAAGTAAGAAAATGTTTTGACAAAAGATGTTGTCGCCATAATTTTTTTGTTTCAATCATGATTATAATAATAATAACAATACATTACTTATTTCAAATGGCAAACACAATTAGTTACAATGAGGCCCTCAGCTATATGATACAGTCAAAAACTAATGTTTACACATAGTTAATAAATAATCATATACAATTGTTAGTTTTATGTATCATTAGTATAAATAAAATAATTGAAGAGGTGCATGTAATACAAAAATGAAAAATTTTATATACATATCAAAATAATTGATTCTTGATGTGCTTAGAATACACACAAATGACCATGTCTGCTGCCAAATTCCAAGGGCAGTAATCCATGAAAAGTATGCAATCCTGAATGATTGATCAATAGTTGCTTGTTTCACTTCCAGTGGCCAATATTTCATATATGTTCAAGACAAGAACAAATCAGCTACTACAAAAATGTTATACATTTGATAATTTCTGATGGTTCAGTTGACAGGGTTGAAGGGTGGGATATTCGGACTGCCAATGGAAAATGAAAGTATGTAGGAAAGGGGCAAAATAAAAAAGCTGTAAATATATTTAAATGGCCCTCATACATTGTACATATTTCAATCATGAAACTGTTCAATACTGTTGTCCAGAAGGTATTAACAGATGGATCAGTCTTTATGAGAACATTATCATCTGTAAAAGGCATGTTTATAACTTAGGAAATTATTAACAATAAGCCCACCTTTGATTGCCAAAAAAATAATCATGTTTTTCACAATTTATATATTTTAGCATAAAATTGTCCAAAAAAATGTTCAGCATATATTCTGTTTTAAGGAATTATGCCCCTCCCCCTTTTCAAAAGGTCTACCCCTGAAGAAAGTACTCCCTCAGGAAAATTTGCCCTTAGATGAATTTAGCTATTCTTTTTGGGTCCCTTTTGGTCATAAAGCTCCTAATGTGTCGACATATTTATACATTTCTGGCTTTCAATTTGTTATGTTAGGGTTTGCAAGGGCAAAAATTGCGGTTTTTATCCAATGCAATCATTGGTTTGAACCTTGTTTTCAATTTAGACTTGTTTATATATATATATATATTTCTCTAATTCTTTGACAATTTATACCTTTCTGCATTCATTGTATAAAAAAATTTAATCAACGTGTGGTTGCCGGTGATCTCAGAAGATGATTGGATGAATTTAAGGGTCATAACCTTTATCAGCTCAAAATATTCTAACAGGTGTTAATGAAATTGACAACTTTGTGAAATGTGGAAGGCACTCGAAGGGGGTTTTGGTATAACAAAAAATTTGTAAAGGTTCAGCGGAACTCAGTGTCTCGCCTACTTTTGCTGTTAATCGCAGGCTCAACAAAAATGAGGAAATTTCCGAAAAAAAATATTCCTCTATATACTATCGTTTGATTGTAAGTAGCTATTGTCCAATTTTGGTAAAAATCCAGGATTGTTTATGAATCTAATAAAATGTTTAAAAAACTTAAACTGCAGACTGTATGTAATGTTAACTGGAAGAAAAACTAAGTCCATTTATAAGTAAAATACGGAAAAAATGGAACAAAATTTTGAAAAATTCCCTTCTAGATACTAGCTTTTAATCATAAACAAGCTTCTGTCCAAGTATGGTTCAAATCCTGGATAGTTTAAGAAAGTTGTTATAATTTAAAAACTTTTAACCACAGAGTGAATGTAATGTTAACTGGCAGAAAAACTAAGTCCATTTATAAGTTAAATACGGAAAAAATGGAATTTTTTTTTTACAAAATTTACTTCTGGATACTATCTTATGATCATAAACAAGCTTCTGTCCAAGTTTGGTAGAAATCCAGGATAGTTTAAGAAAGTTATTAAATTTTCAAAAACTTTAACCACAGAGTGAATGTAATGTTTCCTGGCAGAAAAACTAAGTCCATTTATAAGTAAAATAAGGAAAAAATGGAATTTTTTTTTTACAAAATTTACTTTTGAATATTATCTTATGATCATAAACAAGCTTCTGTCCAAGTTTGGTAGAAATCCAGGATAGTTTAAGAAAGTTATTAAATTTTCAAAAACTTTAACCACAGAGTGAATATTTGTGGACGCCGCCAACGACGACGACGGAATGTAGGATCGCTATGTCTCGCTTTTTCGACAAAAGTCGAAGGCTCGACAAAAATGAAAATGTATTTTTTAATCATTAGAGAAACCGATTCTTACATCATGTACATAGTTACTCGTGAATTATCGGATTTATCCAATCACTATAGTTTAACTATAAATTTTAAAGTCCTCACCAAGGCTCAAACTTTAAAATTGATAATTTAACTATCTCGATTGGATAAATGCGCTAAATCAACTGGTATCAATGTAAGAATCTATATATATATATATATCCAACGCAATCATAGGTTTGAACATTGTTGTCAATTTAGACTTGTATATATATATATCAAGTTTAAATTGAAAACAAAGTTCAAAAAGTTCAAACCTATGATTGCGCTGGATAAAAACCGCAATTTTTATATGTGTGCATGCAAAACAAATTTCTTGTTAAAGGGGTCTAAATACAGCTCAAACAACATTTTCCAAAAGACCAAAAAAGTGAAAAAGTATATTTTAACAAAACGCATTTGACTAACAGGTCGAACAACAAATGTTCTTAAACCCTGCTGACTGCCAATGGTGATTGCCAAATATAAATATATTAATTAGGGCTATGAAATTAAGCTTAAATTGTATTTTAATGAAGCAAAAAATACATTTCCAGGAATCTCTATGCCGCCATCTTGCACTCTTGCAGACAGTTGTGCCTGTCAAATCATTTTAGCCAGACCGCTACATAATTAATGACTGTTTAATAATGGCCATGTTCAGGTTGTAAAACAATTGGACAGATGCTTGTTACTAGCTGTTTAACCCTAATCAAGTTCTACATTCATTATTGGTCTAGAAATGACAGATCAAACTTTATTTCTTTGCTAGTTTCATTACATATGTTAGTGGTAGCTGTAACATATATCCAAGTTCTATCTCTGTCATAGTTTTATGTAATGTTTATTGTCAATAAGTTACAGCAGTTTGTCTGTTAGTGTTACTTTTAGTGTTCGTGTCTTTTCTGTTTACAAGGGATTATGTACAATATTCAAATATTCAGTACGAACCTGGATATAAAATAGAATAGTTTGATATTGTATCAAATTCAATCGTTACAGAAAGAATTCAACAGCAACAATATAACTATCATTATAAACTTCATGTTCATGATGTTTATCTTCCAAATGACATTTCCGGCATTGGTCCGAATTTAGAATATCACTTACTCTTTTGTGTTGAAAACAGAAAAGGTTCAAAGTGAAAAAAAAAATAATCTAGAATGTGAATATTTCACCCAGTTTTTTTTACCCTAAAATGAATCGATCGGGGGCAGAAATACGAGCAAGGTGTGTATTTAACAAAGCTTTAAATAAGGCAAAATCACGAATCGATAAGATATTGAAAATGTTGAAAATACCGATGCAACATGACCAAACTTGCATCTTTGCTGTTTACACTTCAAACTTTTCGATGTCCACATTTTTTCCTTTGGTGTCACAGTGCTGTCTTCTATGTATCTCCAAAAGTAAATGTAAGATTTTTTAACCTTAATTTTATATGCTTCATTTTCAGTCAATATGCTCTATAAATCTTTCTTTGGATCATTTTGAAAACCCATTCCCTTTGAATGAAGGCTCTCCAGTCAATGTGCTAGAGAAGTTTGTTGTTAGCCCAGTTAGCATAAGCATAAAAGAGCATAAAAGATTTATTTAGAGTCGGTTATACATATAACAATACAACATGAGCTCTGTGGAGCTTTTATCCGACATACATATATGACAAGCACAATACATAAAACACATCAAACAGTAAGCACATCAATGTCATCATGCAAAGCATAAATAATATAAGGCAGGCATTACCTGTGAAAGGGGACGAAGTCTATATAAATTATTTTTTTTAATTCAAACATATTTTAAGTTCTAAATCTGTTAAAAAAGAAACGGAAATACCGTAACGTTTCCGATTTTGGTTCTGTTGTTAGGGATTTTAGTTGTGACTTTATTTTAGTTATGACGTCATATTCAATGTAAACAAAGAAACGCTATCATCAGGTAACGTTTTTTCATATCAAAGAATAATTAGAAATGAAATTGTTATTGTGTTCCATCCTATATTTTACTGGACTGATAAATATATATTTCACTCAAAGTCTCATGTCAAACGAGACCGAAAGAAGGAAGTAGATTTCTGCGCAAATGCGGGAAATTAAAAAAAGTTACAAAAAAAAAGTTAACGATTTTGAGTTCATTAGTACAATGAAAATTTCGGGAAATTTTCCCGATTTTTTTTTTTTTTTTTTTTTATATTGATTTTTCTACTGTAATAGGGGACTTCGTCCCCTTATAATGTTTTCAAGCACAGCAATTTGTAAGCAAAATTAAAGCATATAAAGCAAACATAAAATGCAGATAAACTAACATTCATGCAATAGCTATTATATAAAGTACTAAAAGTAATTCAAGCATTTAAAACACAAATAAAAAGTTGTGCATCAAAATATAAAAGCCAGAGTATATAAGATAAATAAATAAATAAATGAATGATCTACAACTCACTGAGATCTGCAGGAGGAACACTGACACGAACTGCCCTCCCAATTACCAACCAAACTTTTAAACTGACCCAAAGGGGAATTAAATATTACAATGTATAAGTTGTTAGAAGAGGTGTGGCTTACTGGGTAAAGGAGTGGTCCGGGTTTTGAAAATCGTGTTAACATTTCCTAATTTTCATTTTGGTAGAGTTCCCTAAAATGAATGCATATGAGTTATCAAATAAAAATAATCAAATACTGCTAAACTTTTATTGGTCGATAAGTTTCCCTGATTAGATTGGTGTGTTCAGGTCCTGAAATCGGCACTGAAGCAAATGTTGTCAAGTTTGTTATTTATTTGAATAACGAAAAGAAGAATGCCTATAGTATTTCAATAAAGAAACTGGTAAAAGTACTTTGTGTCCACTTCGTACTTCCTTTTTGGATTTTCTCTTGAAAATGCATTATACATTTATTATGTTTCTAGCTAGATAAACTTTTATGATGTTCATTGTCACAATTGTTTAAAAGTAGTTTTTCCCCAAAAAAATTATTTGAAAAATCAATTTTCTACCACTTATAACAGATAATGTTGGTGTGTGCCATATGCATGTGCAACATCATTACACCTGATGTTACAGTGTATTACATGTACTTCCTTATACATTGTAATATTTAATTCCCCTAGCTATTGATTATAATTTAAAAAAAAGTAGATTTTGGTTTATGTTAATGAAACAGCAACAAATGTAGATGTACAACACTTACGAAATACAATTAAATCATTTGCTTGTCAACATGTGATATTTAACAATATACATGTATATACATTGTCTATATAGTAATTGTACATGTATGTCAAGCTCTGAATCTACTCTATTCTATATACATTGTAGGTTACAAAATAATTCACTAAAGATTTTTTAACTTCTGCTTTCATGATCCCTAAATGGACAAACAATATGCATTTAGAAACAAAGAAAGCCACATGGATGTTAACTGAAAATTACTGCACTATTATAATTAGTTGCAGTGCAAATGTGACACAAGAAAACAATGATTTATCTGTTTGAATAATAATTTGTTTATTGTATTAAAACTGAGTTTCAGTGTTTGGTAATACAAATATACAGGAGAAGGTTTGGTACTATTAAAACGTTTAATCCCGCTGCAAATTTTTGCACCTGTCCTAAGTCAGGAATCTGATGTACAGTAGTTGTCGTCTGTTTATGTAGTTCATACGTGTTTCACGTTTTTATATAGATTAGACTGTTGGTTTTCCCATTTGAATGGTTTTACACTAGTAATTTTTGGGGCCCTTTATAGCTTTGCTGTTCGGTGTGAGCCAATGCTCCGTGTTGAAGGCCGTACCTTAACCTATAATAGTTTACTTTTATAAATTGTTACTTGGATGGAGAGTTGTCTCATTGGCACTCATACCACATCTTCCTATATCTATGAACATGATGTTATTACTGAGAGATCCTGTGCAGCCTGACTTTTAATCAAGCGATTAAAAGAATTATACAAATTATATTTCTTTATGCATTCTAGCTTAGTTAAAATATTTTTTCAATAGCATGGTTACTAATGAACAAATACATTGTTCTCCTCTGTCTAGGAGTAGATAAGGCCTGTTTTTAACAAATTAGCCTAACCCAATCCATTCCCAGTTTCTATCTTTGTCAGGGACAAACTGAAGGTGTTTGTATGGGGAACTTGTATTAACTAACAGTTTTATCTGAAATTCAAATATATCAGTAACTACATGTACCTGGGAATCATTCAGTGGTTTTACTGGAGGTTATTATCAGCAATTATTTGAAAGTTGTCTGTTTTTATTCTTGTTTATCCAAATTGTCTGAGAGCTATCTAGTCATTCCAGTGTTATCCAAAATAATCCAGTTCTCTCTTATTATTAGATTGATTAATTTTTGCTGCTTAATGCCCAGTGTCAAATATTTTATGAATATTCTGGAGGAGAATAAACAAAAAATAAATCCAATAGATAGGTTGTGCAAATTGAGTTGACTAGGATTAAGGGCAGGAAATATATAATATGCTGTCAGGCCTGTAAAAATCATCTCTACAGGCCAATAGAATCTAACTAAAATTTTGGTAAAATTTAGCGTTGGGCCTGTAGATTCAAAAGTTTATCATGAAGAATGCATTAGGCATCAAATTTACTGTCCTCTTACATGGCTGCACATTTATGCATCCCTAGCTACAAATGTATCAGCCTAACAATATAAAACTTTAAGCATTGGTTTAACTGTATGATTGGATTATATATATAAGTGCAGAAAAACATTTTTCTAACCACAGTCAGTTAACCCAAGGGTTGTAATTGTGCCGTGATTATCTGATATTGTCTTATAAATAGAACATGCTTATGTGTTTAATTATGGATATTATTTATTTTGAAAACAGGAAGCAAAGGTAAAAGTCAGTTAAGCATGCCATTAGATTACCAGTTATGTACATGCCTGAATAATTTTGTTCAATTGACTTATAATTCTTTTTGCATACTAAACATGCTAAATGAAATGATAAAATTAAATTGATGGAAAGATGATATGATTTGAAAGGAAATTATTACAGAAATTAACTCTTTCTTTGAGAAATATTTGAAAATGTGTTAATTTTTTAAATGTAAACCTCTTTAGCTAGGAATTTCTGTTGAATTTTAATTATTTGTTCTGGTGTTCTGTTTGGAATTTTTCTATGGTAAGACAAATGTCAGAAAAGATATATCTTACTTTGTTAAATTTTAAGAATGAAGAAAAGATAGAGAACACAATTCATGCACACAGTCTGCAGCTTTAATCATTTTGTTAATCAATTGACCTTTGCACAGGGGTTAAATAAGATTGGTCTTTTGATTGGTATTTTTAATGTCGAATGGCAAATTTAGATATTTATTGCATGTATAGGAAGAGGTTTTAATGTTTAAGAATTTACATGAACAGGATGTATATGTTTGGCCAAATAAAAAAGATTTTCTGATTTAGCTTCTCTGGATATGTTCATATACAATGCATATATATTTAGATTGTAAAAGAAAAATTGATGCAGACTGTGTTCACATTAATCTCCTTTCGTTTCATAACAGTGAACGCATGTGCCAATAGATTTATATATGTATAGTGTATGCAACTGAAATATACAGCTGCATGCAAATATTCTATTATATAATACCATTAAAACCCACTCCCATATTATGTTATGATCACAGACCCTATGGTCATGATGATAGTTATTAGATATTTATAGTTGCTTTCTGCGTCTGTTGTGAGTATTAGATAAATTTTTTCTAATGTTCTGGGAAATTTAGAAATAAATTAAGCAGGGTCTTATCTAGATTATGAAATGGGCAAAAACTTCTTATACATATATAATTACACCAAACACTCCTGTTGTCAGAATGAGAAATTTTTATTTTGACTGGAAAAGCTTAGTGTGTTGTTATTTTTATAAGAATGTTGTGATGGGCCAAATAAAAAGTTTAAGAAAATAAGTAATTTCAAAAAAATCAATTGAACAGAATATTTTTTAGAAATTTAAAGGTACACAAACTAATTTTCCAGATTTTAAACTTTATTATGAATCAATATTTGTAAATTTTATATGAATCAATTATCATGGTCCACTTTACAAATGTTATATATTTGTACATAAAATATTCATATATATTTTTTTTTATCCTGCTTAATATTTTTTTCTCCAAATGCATAAACGAAAAAACGATAAGGTACAAAATGTAACCAACACCTTTGGTTGATTATACATGAGTAAGAATCTCAAAAGATTAGATAAATTATTGAATATAGTCTATATTAGGATTTGGAAGAATTCTAGAGGCTTAACTTGAAATTTTGTAACATTTTGCATGTTTTGCAAAACTTAATGTCATGCATCAATCATTTTGAACTGTTGTATCTGCGATTTTCTTAATTTAAAGGAATGCCTGATGTGCAGATTGGTGGACAAACAGTGGTACAAAAAAATGTATTATGTATTGTATGTACAATTTGTACAGCCTTGATGTAATAATACGGAAATGTAATCTGTAAAAAAAATGAAAATTTTAGTTTAAGTTTCTAATCTAGCATGTCTTAAGTCAAATAGTAGTAATAAAACACATCCAAATTTTAAGAATTTCAAGTTTCACCGCATCAAAATAATAAAAAAATTTCCGTTATGATATAGGCCACAACCACAAGTTATTCAGAATGTCAGAATGAGGTATGATGCATGTCGGTTTGTTGGAAGCTAAATGTATATATTTTTTTTTTATCTATGTACCAACAGAGGTGGAAAATTATTATCTGTAGTTCCTTTGGTTCTAATACTGTTATTCTCAGAAAGACAACTTGAATTGCAGAGAAAAATATTACAGTAATATTAACTATTATTCTGAATTATAAGAGTGTTTTGAAAACAACTATTTTACTAACAATTATCAAGACCATGTGACTATGAATTGCATGTCTGTTTTGAAATCCGATTGCTGTGAATATTTGCCAAAAAATTATTATTAATATCGGAATTGCCATGATTGGAATATGGGATATTAAATTTTGAAAAAGACAGGATACTTAAATGTACAAAAGGATAAGGTCTCTGATTAATTGATTGGTGTTTAACACCATTTTTAGCACTATTGGCTATTTCGTGGCAGTCAGTTTTTATTGGCGGAGGAACCCTGATTGCATGGAGAGAACAACCAATCTTCCGAAAATATTGATTCATAAAAGATTCCTTTGATTTGACTACAATTATTTTCCACCTCTGGTACAAATACTGCTTTCTCATTTCAAATGCATTTTTTCTTCTTCAAAGTTTAATTTGGAAATAAATATTTTCTTCTATCATTCTTTATCATTGGTAAAAATGTATTTTCTTTTTAAAAAAAAATCAGGTTAATCATTACAGTAGGCATGGTATGAATTAGTAAATAAGTTAACCTTTTACATATTTTTTCATTTGGAATAATAATTCTAAGCAGTCATGTTCTTCAATATAATCATATGGAAAATAGAATTAAGCACCTTTTCTTTTCTCAGATTTTAAGTCAAATTTAGTCTTTATAGGCATTTGAAATATCAGCTGCTTATTCTAATTATTTAGTCATTTTTCATTCTTTAATCCTTTTTTACTTTTACATTTTTGTGCATTCATTTGATTATATATATTGATTAAAGGCATAACCATGCAATTCTGCATAGAATCGTTGTCTTGTAGCTGCTTTTAGTTGAGTATTTATGTATGTAATTGTTGCTTTGAAATATTCATATGTACTATCAGCTTAATTTTTATTTATCCTTCATGTACTTATCAGCTAATTTTGTTTTAAATTTCATGAACTTAAAGAAAATATGTTTCAAAAATTTATTTTATTCGTTACATGTTACAGAATATATTTTCATACATGTATTAATTCTACTGAGTGTGTATGTATTGAATTATATAATTTATATATATGCACACGTATAAAAATTGCGGTTTTTATCCAACGCAATCATAGGTTTGAATGTTGTTTTCAATTCAGACTTACATATACCCCGTATATATATATATATGTATGTAAGTACAAATTTCATGTCCTATCAGAAAATTAGAAAAATCATCCAACTTATTTTCATTTTTAATATGAATAAATGGAGATTTTGAGTATACCTCAATAAGACAGTAACACGACAACAAAAATAACCAAAAAGACGTCAAGAGGCAACTTACATTCCCTATTAATAGACAGGTGTCTAAACAAAATGTCTATCTTTTAATTGTCCGGGATCTTTGAAAGTTGTAAATAAAGTCTACAAAATTTCCATAAATTATTTCTGATTTCTTTAAATAACTATTTATGAATATTTTTGTACTGGTGTATGCGTAGCAAAAATAATTTGAGTTTAATTTACATATATTCTTTTAGCAGTACTTTAAATTTTAAAAAGCGGTTTGTATGAATTTGACCATTTTTTTTTTTTAATTCTTTTCAGATTAACTGTTCTGTCTACCTTTGCATGAAATTTGAACATATGTTAATTAAATTTACATATATTTTAATTTTATGGGGGGATTTAGCAATTTTTGTTTGTTAAATAAATCGCTGATAAAACAAATTTTTAAAGTATCTTACAGGTGGAAGCTATTTGTTATTTTAAAGTTTAAAAGTCAGTAAATAAATTTTGATATTTCAGACTGCTCCGCTCATTCAATCTTTACTTATTCATTTTTTTTTTTCATTTGTAAAAATTGCCTTTACAAATATTAAAAAATTAGTATACATGTTAATTTTTTTTTATAAAATATTTTATGCAGAAAAAAAATCCTTTTTTGAAAACTGTGAATTGAAACACAAGGTAAAAAATAATCAGAGAAGTTTGCAGTTATTATCAATTTATATGAAATATTGTCTAAAATTGGGTGTAAACCATTTAAGTTTTGAAAATTCACTGTTACAGTAATAAAATACATTATACAAAATATAGTCTAAAATCGGTTAATGAATTGGGGAAGTTTTAAGTATATAAAATATATTTCGTTTGAAAATTGATTAAATTTCTAACGCCTGTAACAGTTGTTAAAATACAGTATTACTTATATCATTAGTACCCAAAGTCCAAAATATATTGTCAAATTACTTACCTGCACTATTTTTAAAAGTTTCAAAGTTCAAGTTTATTCAAGTTAGTCTATCCAATATCAAGCAGCTTCAAATTGTTGCAGCAAGCTCCACAATAATACAATACAGTGCAACTTATGACTTTAAAATTGAAGCCAAAATACAAATTGAAAATAAATAAATAATTTTCTTTAATTTTAAGAAATTACTGTCAATTACAGTGAAATATGTGGACGTAAGGCTTTGTTTGCGACTTCCACAAAAAGATGTTAATTAATTCTTAAATTTAATGATTAGTATAGATTACTTGTACACCTACAAATGTATAGCAAGTTCAACATCACTGAACATGAGATGTGACTTGGTACTGTAAAAATCAAAATTGGGAACAGCTGGACCAGTTCAGTTACAATTGACCCAAGACATATGTCTTTGTGGTGTACTTATAAACAGTGTCAAAATTATGCTCTGCATACTAAGTAGTGTTTTATTTATAGATATTCTTTGTTCTGAGTTAAAAAAAAATTGTGTACTCTTGAAACTTTCAATCAGTTTTTTTTTTTTTTATATCACATGATTAGGTGAAAGTTTGATTTCACTGTTTATTATTGATTTGTAAAATAAAGATTGTAAGGCATTTGAATTTTAGTTTCTGAACTATATTTTCATATAAATGGCTGTTTTATCTTGTAGCATTATAGTTTCATCTTAAAAAGGAATTTTCTATTATAAAGATACTGATATAGATAATACTTAAATCAAAGCTCGGTGTTGGTATTAATGTAAAATTTAATTTCTGGCTTATAAGGCCATACAAAATTAAAAATTAATTTGTTTGGACATAAATAGGAATTCTTGTTTGGAACTTCTAGATATGTTTTGTGTAAATTATTAAATCTATTAAAATTGAGTTAAATGTTTGCCTTTTTCAAATTAGTCATCATGGAATGTTTTGAAAAGCGAGAGTTATAGGTATGCGGCGGCAGTTTCAACAGTTTGTTAAAGTGTGTAATTTTGTCAGAATTAGGAGAACCACTAATGTTAAATGATATTTGGTATGCAGTTGTATAAGCATTGGCACCATGTAGAGTATTTGGCAATGTCCCCTCAGTCATGGTCTATTGACTTAGAAACTTAGGCATTATTTACATGATACTAATATATTCCAAAATATGTGTAAACTGACAAGTTATTTATCAAACCTAATTGTGTATTAAATACTTTGCCATCATTACACGTGTAAAACACATGGCATTTAGAGTGGTGAATACCAATTAGCAAACTTTCTTCAGGTTGCACATGTCATTTAGCATAGTGAATATCAATTTTAGTCTTTTCTGGAGATTGCATATGTCATTTTGTTCTATGAATATTAAATTTTGATGTTTTCTTCTGCTGAATCTGTTTTTATGCAAATTCCAATTCATACAGAAAAGACAGCATTTGTAATAAAATATTACTGATATGGAATAATTCGTTTTACAGAAATAACATTTAAAAAAAATAAAGAACCCCAAATTTAAATTGCATAGTTTTGTGGCTGAATAATAAAAGTTTAAAATTTATACTTGTAAGATATCAGATGAAGGGTAAACTGTGAATTATATCAATATGTAGTTAAGGACTTCCGACTAGACAAAGAATTTGAAAACGACCTTTCTAGAATAATGACAAATATCTTTTTTTCATAGTTAAAACATGGAAGTATTGACATTTAACTTCCATGGTTAAAATGATCTCGCTCCGACTGATAAGGATGTGAGGTTTTCAAAATTTTTTAAATTATTATTATCACATTCTCATCTTCTATTTTACATTTTCTATTTACTGATCATAAGGCCAATGCTGCCAAAATGTGTATCAGTTTTTCAAAAGTCAATTAAACCACATATGTATTAACTGACAACTATTTACCAAAACTAATTCTGCATCAAATACATTGCCATTATTACATGTGTAAAACACGTGGCATTTAGAGTGGTGAATACCAATTAGCAAACTTTTCTTCAGGTTGCATGTGTCATTTAGCACAGTGAATATCAATTTTAGTCTTTTCTTGACATTGCATATGTCATTTTGTTCTATGAATATCAATTTTAAATGTTTTCTTCAGGTGAATAACTTTTATGCAAAATCCAATTCATATAGAAAAGACAGCATTTGTGCTAAATAATTACTAATATGGAATTCGAATAACCTGATTAACTGTACTAACATTTAAAAATTAGAGCCCCAAATTTAAATTGCCTAGTTTTGTGGCTGAATTATTCAAGTTAAAAATTCATTCTAGTAAACTATAAGTTTGAGGTTAGTTGTGAATTTTGTAGTTAAGGACTAGACAAAGAATTAGGAGATAAAGGGGCCAAAAAGACCTGTTCTATAATAAATGACACATATCATTTTCCATAGATAAAACGATCTATTTCTGACTGATAATGATGTGAGGTCTTAAAAAATTCAAAAATTATTATTATCACATTCACACCTTCTATTTCACAAAAAAGTAACTGTTATTCATTGTGTTGTGCAAATGTATAAGATAAGCAGTAATCCATTATTTTGCACTGGACAAAGCTCATTACTACAAAAAGTATGTCAAAAAGTGTGGTATCCATTTTTCTAATTTGATGGATCTATGCCTGATAATGGACATCATACCATTTATGGAGATAATGACTTTATACTTGTCATATTAAACACCATGGGCCGTCAAGTCGATTCAAAAGCTACCTGTGAAAAGAAGGATTAACACACAGATGTTGCTTATGCAGAGAAAGTTTCTGTAAACACGGTTACATTTATGTTTTACATCTTATTTTAAATTAGATGCATGTTGTTTTTGTTCATGGGGAATTAAACAAATATATTAAGATTAATATTTATCCAGATTGGTTCAAAATTGTCGAATTATGTAATTCAAACTATGTCATTGTGTGCATTTATCTTTCATCTAGTTAAACACGGTTTATTGGCTTTGTAATATCTTGAATAAATGAAAAACCATTTTGTTTTTAAATTTTTTTTAATTTAAATGCAAATGCTTGACATTAAAAGATTTTTTTTTCTCGATAATTATAAGTTTATAACATTTATACTTTTTGTCTTATTTGATTCATGCTTTCAGAACAGATATTGAAAACAATCAATTTGATTTCAATGAACCATTTTTATTATGAACTTTGATTTTTCAGTGAACAACAGTCCAAAATGATCCAAGACCGAGTAAGCTTTGTAGAAAAACATTTTGGACATTTGTGTGACACAATGTCATCAATAACTAGAAAGTGTGCCAGACTTAGGGATAAAGGTAATTATATGATATCTTTATATACCCCACTAACAAAGTTAAAGGGTTATGTAGGATCAGCTTCACTCACACAGCTAGTCAGTATCTGCTACAACAATTGCAACTTCTGTATCCTTTGTTTGATTCACTTTAAACTTTGTAGAAAAATTGATTGTTATATGCAAACATCAACATGTGTATTTTTTTCTATTCTGTTAAGTTTATCCAGAATTATGCCCCTATCATTTTAGACTTTATAGAACTGACCTCGTCATCCCAATTCCTCTTACATGGTTTGTTTCTTATCTACTTAAAAGTTGGTACATTGTTAGATCCTGGCTAGCGTTTCACAAAAAATTGTACAATTTACGTTTACGATTAAACTTACGTTGGGCTTAAGATTTTACCTGGGAGTGTTTCACAAAGGTGATCGCAAACATAACGTAAACGTACGTTCATGTCTAAAAAAAGAATCTTTCTTTCAAAATCAGGAAGAAAATTTATATCATCGTAGTTTGAAATGGTTATCAGTTGTTTTTTGTTTGTATGTCAAATAGGTTTTGTGAGGTAGCATGGTAAGTGTCCCGTCTAGTTTTAAAATATTTTTCTGCTTTGGTTTTATTAAAAAATATGGGCTGGTGGTGGAATTTTTTTTTCAAGCGTAGTCTGTTTTTGTTAGTATTGTTGAAGAATGATGAAGTCATAATAAAAAGGCAAATTCATTGGGACTTTGACATTTCTTAAATCCAAATCGAAATGAATTTATAAATTGTTTACATAAAATTTTACGTATCTTTAAATGTTAAATATGAACTGGTAAAAAATTCGTCAAGCATAAATTGTGATAGTTTCTGATGTGTGTCTAGGCAGGTTTCTTTTCTTAAGAGCATGGCAAGACAACATTAAGACTTGGACATGTAAAAAGTATATGCATATTTTCATTTTATATTTTTTAATGCTATGCTATGCATTTGCTACTGTGTCAACCAAAATCATAATGGTCATCGGGAGATTGAAAAAATAGATGCATAAATGTCTACATATTTTTTATTTATTTAATTTTTTTTGGGGGGGGAGGGGTATCTGGGGGTTGTAGTTTTCCCAAATTTCTTTTCATTTGAGTCATTTGAGTCATGTTAATGACGAGAATCCATTTGAATTTTTTATTTGTGTATCTATAAAGGGCGATTCTTAAGTCCCGCTGATTCACATGCTCCCCTTTTCCTCTATTTCTTTATGGATGCGCTATGGTCGTGAATTCAATATGTAACTATAAAAAGAGATATCAAGAATATAAGAGCGTCTTGGCGGGGTTCCCTTCTAATCTGTTTTCTTTAATTTTTTTAATCATTTTTCTATATTCTTTATAAATTTTGCACATTATTCTTTATTCTGTAAATTAATCTTTATCCTTTTTATTTTGGCCTATTTATCTCAGTTCTTCCATTTTTTAATCCATTTTCTGTAATGTTTGCCCTTGATATTATTATATTCTATAATATTATCTAAACTCCATTCAGACTCTTGTATAACTTTGTTTTTAGTTACAGGACCAGTCAGAAATTTGTTGCTAATCATTTGTTAAATAAATAAATCGATCATGCATTAACAAGAATCGGTGCATGGATATGTGTCCATAGGACACCAATCCCAGCTCGCACTATTACGTATCCATGTTAATTTTGCATATTTGTTAAACAGTTCTCTGTATAATGAACATGCGCACCAAGTTTCATTTTGCTGGGATCTCAAAGTACCTGAAACAAAAATTTAACCTCACACATGCTTTAATTGACATTTCATTGAAAAATTACCATTGAAATCTTTGTCCAAACCATAAGGACAAGTGGCGATAATGGTAGTTTTTTTAAAGACCCGTCACCATTTTCATTTAATTTTTCGTGTTGTAACTGATGGAAAATCATGATCGACACTTTAGTATTTATTTTATATAAAATTGAGAATTGAAATGGTATTCTTTTCGTAGCAATATGTATAAGGTGGGTGGGGTAAAGATGAATAGGACATTAAATTTTAAACATCAATATGCTTTTAACTATTACACAAACTTAAGTGTATACTTTTTGGCAATTGTTTTATATTCTAATTGTTAGAATTTTCTAAAATTTGGGTGCTATCAGATAAATGAGGTAAATATACTAAACTCTAAGGAAAATGTCAAAGATATACAAAAATCTCATTATTATCAGCAAACAAAACTATTGATAAATAACTAGTATTCAAGAGAATTATGTAACGTAATAGGGGCCTAGGATGACTAGTCTTTTGACTTTGCTCGTGACAGTATTCTGACCCTAATTGACCTGAATTAATAAAATGTTGTTAAACATCAGCAATAAATCAATCTCAATATAACATAACGAACATCAAGAATCTTTTTTAGAATACGAGATATATCCTTTGGTTTTATGTTGAAATAGCTCATCATTATATTTGTTTCATAATCTCATAAATTCTTTGAATGATATTCACACATTTTGTCTCGTGCTATAGGTGGAGTCCGTAAACATTTTTTTTTCAAACATGAGGAGTATACTTTTGTACTTTTGTACTTTTACATTTATGTATATGAACTACTACACGTTATGTCTTTCAACCCCAAATGAATTGACTGGTATCAATTAAAAATTGTACTGCCTGGTCCTCTCTATTCACGAAGTAAAACCCTCGTTGAAGTGGTCGTCAGTTCAAATGTGCTGGATGTATAAATACACAGCATCGTCCGCTTGATATTGAAAACGATGATTCCTGCATACGAATTCCATATTCCTTATTTTAACATCATTTTTGGTCTGCCGGTTATTGGTCGATGGCAAGGCAAAATTTTTGCCCTATCCAATATACCATATTTCAAAAAAAATGCATTTATTCTTGCCGACATACCTTGCAGAATTGACATTTTTTTCATGATTGCATTAGATATTGCCATGATTGTACAATTTATTGCCTAGTAATACTATATAAATATTTTGTGAAATTTTTATGCCTTTGAAAGTGGGGTCTTGAATTTTTTTTCGTTCATCTAGTGGGGAGCTTGAAAATATAGAGAAATTCTAATGTTTCCTTCCATCCACTCAAATGCTTAAAAAATAAGAATCTTGTCACCTTAAAAAAAATTGAAAATGAAGAATATATATTTAAGATTTGAAAATTTGAAGTTTTTTAGCAGGCTACAACATTCTTACTTTATACACTAAGTATGAACATAAACAATCATATCATGGCAAAGTGAATTATCATAGTTTTCAAAATAACCTAGAATTATAGAAATGTTTTAAATCAAAAGGACTGGCCAAGTAGGTATTGAGTACGGGGTTGAAGCATATGTTTTATACCTTTAATAAAACATGAACCTGATAGAGCGCATGGCAACTGGTGTAATTACATTGACACTATGGATTCATACCATTCCATTCATGTATATAAATTATTGTTTTCTCAATTTCTTGACCGTTATTTATTTTAAAATAATCGTAGTGTATTATATACTATAGTTATACAAAAATGTCTATCAGTAAAGAGCATCGTCCTCCGTTGTACATAGTGTGTAACCGCAGGACATGCATTAATTGATACGGGATGATGGTACAATTTTGGCTTGACATAAATATTTATTGTTAACTTCATAAAGTCTGTGTAAAACGAGAGTTATAAATGCAGGGTATGACAGATTTAAGAACTAGTAAATAAGCGTTTATAATTTTCTTTTTTGAGAATATTTAGAACAAAGTTAGGTGCATGCAAGACGTACTGACCCCCCTTTGTGAATTAAAAGCAGATGTCACTTTAAGTTTAAGTGCAGTGCTAGCTCAATCACTTCTAAGTTTTTATGGTCTAATATTTGGACTTTTGGAAGCAAGGTGCTCGTTTTATTTAAATTAAAATAAACTCAAACGTAGAAATGGTAAATCCACGATTATTTCAGGAATTTAAAATTTCAGTTACTTATGATTGGGACAAAATAACATGAACACATTTATTCTGATCATCCAATGGAACTTAATTTTCTGTACGATAATGTATTGTTGTTGATTATAATAAAATGTCAACAGGTTAAATCACTACGATTTGACTTACGACTGCCTGTGAACACTCGTAAGTTTACGATCAAACTTACGATAAAATTCTACTTACAATTATTTATGAAACGCCCAAAAACTTACGATTTGACGTACAACCGACGTACGATCTTAAATTGTCGTACGATCTTTTGTGAAACGATGGCCTTTATAACATTATATGCAAGTGGGGCATCAATTGTGTCCCATGGACACATTCTCCATTTATTTTTAGAGCTACACATGTACATGAATCTTAGAAATTTTGACGGAACCAACCAATTGTATATCATTTCTACATGAAACTTAATATGTTGTTAAATCCTGATGTGCATATGCGTAAGATGTTCTTGTCTAAAGAGTTTTTTTATTTTTTAGGGTTATGCCCTTTAAACTATTTTTAAGAATTTTGACCCTGTCTAGAACCCAACTTCTAAATTTTTGTTTGATTCACTTTCAACTTTGTAGAATAATGAATCATTATATGCAAACATTTCTATGTGAAGAATTTTTTATTCTGTTTAGTTTATCCAGAATTATGTCCCTTTCACCTTAGAAATTTCGACTTATTCAGAACAGACTTATTCATGGCAACTCATCTTACATCTTGTAAGATCCTTTTTCACAGATGCACTAATGGTTGAATGTTCTGGTCCAAAGAGGAGTTTTTATATGCCCCCGCCGTAGCAAAAAGTTTGGGGGGGGGCATTAAGTTTTACCCTTGTCCGTCTGTACCTACGTACGTCCCAAAATTGATTTCTGTTCTCTAACTTTAGTTTGCCTCAACCAAATGTTATGAAACTTATACACAATGTTTATTACCACAAAACACAGATCAAGTTTGAATTTTGGTGGCGTCACTTTTACCGTTCTAGAGTTATGCACCTTTACAAATGGAAAAATTGCTGCATTTTTGTTTCTGTTCTCTAACTTGAGTTTGCCCCAACTAATTGTTATGAAACTTATAAACAATACTTATTACCACAAAACTCAGATCAAGTACAAATTTGGGTAGCGTCACTTTTACAGTTCTGGAGTAATATCCCTTTATAATGTTATATGCAAGCGGGGGCATCACCTGTGTCCCATGGACACATTCTCCATTTATTTATTACAAATATGCCCTTTCAATTGAGAAATTTTTACCCTGTCCAGCACCAAACTTCTGTTTCCATTTTTAGCTCACCTGGCCCAAAGGGCCAAGTGAGCTTTTCTCATCACTTGGCGTCCGTCGTCCGTCATCCCTTAACTTTTACAAAAATCTTCTCCTCTGAAACTTCTTGGCCAAATTTAACCAAACTTGGCCACAATCATCATTGGGGTATCTAGTTTAAAAGATGTGTCCGGTGACCTGGCCATCCAACCAAGATGGCCGCCATGGCTAAAAATAGAACATTGGGGGTAAAATGTAGATTTTGGCTTATATCTGTGAAACCAAAGCATTTAGAGCAAATCTGACAGGGTAAAATTGTTAATCAGGTCAAGATCTATCTGCCCTGAAATTTTCAGACCAATCAGGCAAAACGTTGTTGGGTTGCTGCCCCTGAATTGGTAATTTTAAGAAAGTTTTGCAGCTTTTGGTTATTATCTTGAATATTATTATAGATAGAGATAAACTGTAAACAGCAATTATGTACAGCAAAGTAAGATCTACAAATAAGGCAACATGACCAAAATTGTCAATTGACCCCTTAAGGAGTTATTGCCCTTTATAGTCAATTTTTTACAATTTTCGTAAATTTTTGTAACCTTTTACAAAAATCTTCTCCTCTGAAACTACTGGGCCAAATAGAATCAAACTTAGCCACAATCATCATTAGGGTAATCAGTTTAAAAAATGTTACTGATGACCCTGCCTGCCAACAAAGATGGCCGACATGGCAAAAAATAGAACATATGGGGTAAAATGCAAGTTTTGTCTATTATTCTGATAACCGTTATAAAAAGAGGAAATCTGATGCGGGTAAAATTGTTCAGAATGTTGAGCTCTACCAATTATCCATATACGTCAAAACTGTAAGACAATTTCCTGTAGGAGTTATTGCCCTTAAATGACAAATTTTACTATTTTTTTCGATTTTTGCCTATTATCATATCTTGAAAACTATAAAAGATAGAGAGAAACTTTAAATTGCAAAAATGATCAGAATGACAAGTTCTTCAATTAAGTCTTATGGTTGAAATCATCAGTTGACTCCTTATTAGAGTTATTTCCCTTTGAAGCCGATTTGTACAATTTTTTTTGCGTTTTTGTCTTATATCTTAAAACTTATAATAGATAGAAAGAAACTTAAATATACAAAAATGATCAGCAAGACAAAATCTACAATTAAGACAAAGGGCAGAAATTGTCCAACGACTCCTTATTGCAGTTATTGCCCTTTAATTATGATTTTTACCATTTTTTTGGCATTTTTCCTTGTATGATATTAATTATAATAGATAGATAGAAACTTAAATAATCAAAAATGATAAGGTAGACGAGACCTACTAACAAGTCAAATTTCGCTGGTATAATAAGTAGACTGTTGGTTGCTCTTTATAGGAGTTTTTTTTACCCTCTTTTGTGTTTAGAGCAAAAGCTGAATAAGATCATGAAGATAGAGAGAAACTAAACAGACTTCAATGATCAGCAATATAAGATACAAAAAAAAACAGAGATTTTTGTCATTATACGCCCCCGTCAATTTTTGATGGGGACGTATTATGGTATACAAATCCGTCCGTCTGTCTGTCCGTCTGTATGTCTGTCTGTCCGGCGTAAACATGTCGCACCGTAACTTGAGAATGACTTATCCAAATTTCATGAAACTTAACATAGTTGTTTTTATGATGGTCAAACGATCTGTATACTTTTTGGTGAATATAAGATTAAAACTTTTTGAGTTACGGGACAAAGTAACTAAAACAGGTGTGTGTTTTTTTTCACATGTCGCGCCGTATCTCAAAAACAATTTATGATTATTGCTTAAAACTTTACACACTTCTTATTTATATTAATCTTAAGATCTGTATACTTTTTGGTGATGATTCAAAATTTTATTTTAGAGATTTTGATTATTTGTTAAAAAAGGGGGAGGGGTTTTTCACAGGTCGTGCCATATCTCAAAAACAGTTTATGATTATTGCTTAAAACTTTACACACTTCTTAGTTATATTAACCTTAAGATCTGTATACTTTTTGGTGATGATTCAAAATTTTATTTTAGAGATATTGAGTTTTTTGTAAAAAAAAAAGGAGGTTTTCGCATGTCATGCCGTATGTCAGAAACTATTTATTCTTATTGCATAAAAATTCACACACAAGACGACGGGCGTATCATGCGCTCATGGCGCAGCTGTTTATTAATTCTATTCTCGTCTACAATGTTGGAGAGTGTCCTCTGTTGAATATGCATAAAGACCAAGGTGAGCGACACAGGCTCTTGAGAGCCTCTAGTTGAGATTCACTATAAAATTATAGAATAATTGATCGTTATATGCAAACATTTCAATGTGAATGATTTTTTATTCTGTTTTCCTTTTCAGAGAGGACCTTGTCCTCTCAAGGTCCTCTCAACTCCTCATACATGGTGTATCATATCTGCATGAATCTAAGTCATGTTAGAACTTAGTGCTATGAAAGTACTTTTATTCATGGATATCTATTTTTTTGTGGTTTGAAGAAAAGTTTCATGTTTGTGGATTCTTAAATTCGTTGATATCAGGTTCCTTAGAAAAACAGGTTGGATTATCAAGATTTTGTATGATAACCTTGAGAAACAAAACCTCCTGCATGAATAAGATGGTCTTTATTATGACAGTATGAATATTTATAACCTTTTGGTTATTAGGTCATTGCAAAATAAAGTGTTCATCTTCTCCTACTTGTTTATCACATTATAACAAAATTTCGTCCGATATTTAATAAAAGATGTTTTTTTGTAAGTAACAGATATGGGCTTACATTTTAATTTGTGTGATCATCTGACAGCATTTATTTCATTTATTATGTGAATTTTCCACACTTGACGATTTTTTGACACGAATTTATAGCACCACAAGCCAGAAATATATAACCATGCTTAGACTGATAGGACCATGCTCAGAAATTATAGGACTGTGTGTTTTTGGTGCTATAAGGGTCTGGGGAGAACACCGCCTGTCAAAGATTTAATATTTATTTATTGCAGGGAAAGTAAGACGTACTAAAACTAAATATATATCCTGTCAAATTTCTCTTATATTTATAAATATAGTATTAGTTTATTGTGATAAATTTATTTGCTATATATACAATTTTTGAAGGTGACGAGTTAGCAAAGAATTTAGTGGACTACACTGAGGCAGAGTCAATGAATCCCAGTATTGTTAGAAATATTAGTGAATTTGCTTCAAATATATCTACTATACAGGATTATAGACAGGCAGAAGTAAGTGTACTATTTACTTAATGATAACCTATGAGTGAAGTTACAGAGCATGAAATACTGTAAAAAATTAATTTCCTGTAATTCATTTCTTTCTACTGTTTTTTTCATATCAGCAGATATTTTTTAAAACATAATTCTTTTTATAATATTCATTTATTATTGTTTGAAATGTAAGAATTTCATTGCGGTGTAAATATTGTTGATTATTTTATGAACACATTTATAGTACATTTGAAGAAGCTAAAAACAGGGAAATTAATTCTTTAAAAACTTGATATTAATTTTCATATATACCAAATGTAATTTCTTATCTTGAAATACATATTAGGACTGAATTAACTAGAGGCTTTAAAAAAAAAAGTGTCCATTAGAAATGTAATGAGCTCTAAAGTATCTGTGAAGAGGTAGAGAACCTCTTTACATATACTTTTCTTGGTAGTCTAAGGACTTTTTTAAATAATTCATTTCTTATTTTCATGCAACTCATCAATTATATCTTGGAATGAGTTATGAATTATGATATCTGTAATGTGGCGTCATTTAATTCTGTCTATTCTAAATTGAAATCAAACAGCTATAACTGATGTAAGATAATTGATTTTAACCAGTAAACAATTCGCCAAGGTTCACAGTTTATCTTTTTTTATTTCCAGGTGATGAGGTTAGACACAAAGGTTATACAGCCCCTTATGAACTATGGAATAAAATGTAAACAAACAAAAAATGACTTAAAATCTGCATTTGCTGCCCAGGATCGTGAACAATCCCAGAAGAAAAAATTAGAACAATTAAGACAGAAAAGTCCAGGAGACAGAAATAAACTATCTCTTGCTGAAACAGATTTACAGAAAGCCAGTGTTGAAGCATCCAGAATATCAAAAGCTTTACAAGAACAAATGGATAAATTTGAAATGGAAAAGTTAAGAGATATAAAGGTTGGACTTTTCTTTGTCAGGACAGAATTTTTTGTACAATGTTTATAATAGTTTTCCTTAAGCATAAGAATCAGGGCAAATGCCCATAAATATGCTGCATATTGATTTAATTGACACAATTTTTTTTTTCAAAACACCTATTATATACACAAAATATACACAAATTTTACAATAAATTTGCTTTGCATTTTTTTTGTTGCCATCAGGGCATTGCCGTGGGTGCTATGTAATGATGTGTAATGACACGTTGTGACACAATTTATTTCCTCATTTAAACAGCAGCAGGGACAATTTGCTATGGCTTAGCAATTTTGTTTATTCTGTATAAGAATTTTTTACAATTACACAGTTTAAATATACCACTCTTTACAAAAGAAGTAAGATATTCAGTTTATTCGAAACTGATTTGTTTTTTAGATATGAAGTATTATCTGCCTAATCATAAAGAAGAATTTTCTCAAATTTACACAGAATTTAAGCAAAAAAAAATTTTTACAATGGAGAAATGAAAAAAAATAGTTTTAAAGAAAAAGGTAATTTTTGAACTGTTAACATTTTAGTTTTAGCACTCGGGTCACAAGTTTTAAATTCTTTCTTTTTTTTTCAGAAAATAATGATGGATTTTGTAAATATTGAGATGACATTTCATGCAAAGGCGTTAGAAGTATATTCACAGTGCTTTAATAATGTTGCTGCAATAGACATAGATGAAGATATAGAGGTATGTTGTGCTGTAAAGATTTTACCCCTTTTCAAAAGTTGTTCCCTTTGAATGGGTTTTGTCAGGGGAGATAATCCAAAATATTTCTGCAAATCAAACCACTTTACACTATTGGCAAATATCTAGAACACAGGTATATTAACTTCATTTATGGAAAGATGTCATTGGTCTGATACAGAATTTAGCCATCTTCTCTGCTATAGTTCAGTCTGAACAAATATAGTTCCTGTTTCTGATTACTTTAAGTTCATAACTTAAGTTCATAAAATGATTGTTGTATACTCATATAAACAACAGCTTAGTTTAATAACTTATTTAAACTATTCAGGAGAGGGTTTAGAAGAGACAGTTATCAAAGTAATTAATACATGTAAAATGCCCCTTCAATATGTTGATCTCCTTAAGGGCAAAGGATACAGTAGCAAGGGCAGATAATAGTGCATCCCAATTTAACGCATTGTTTTCACAAAGTTGCTAATGGCAAGCATTCAAAATTCACGGAAAAATAGACGTCATTAAATCAGTTATGTAAATTTTGAAAGTATTTTGATAATTGTGTAATATTTATTAATGATGAAGGATATATTATTGCAGGAATTTAGAGACAAATTGATACCTCCTAATTCAGCAATCAGGATGAATTTAGTTAGATCTAATTCTTACAATTCTCTGAATTCTAATACAAATAATTCTGGTGGTGGAGTTACCCCTCCTGTTGTTGGTACACCATCCACACAACCAAGAGGTCTCCAAAGGCAACAATCTGCCCCAGTGCAACAGCAGACGACACCAACAAAACCACATGTTCATGCATCACCTGCTAGTTTACGGTCACCATCAAGGTCACAGTCAGCACAATATGGGTCCTCAACACACTCAACTCCGTCCAGAAGCAATTCACTACCAAATGCTCAACCTAAAAAACTGATTCCAGTGTCCAATGGTTTAAGAGGACAGGTAATTTTAATTTATTTGTGGTATATATGTAACACTCCCAAACGTGTCCATCCCCCCAAACGTGTCCGATTCCCCCAAACGTGTCTATTCTCCCCAAACGTGTCCGTAATATTCAATATTCCCCAAACGTGTCCGATTTTATAACCCCCAAACGTGTCCAATAATTGTTATTCGCCAAAACGTGTCTACTATTTAACGCCAGAACGTCTCACATCTTTTAGCGCCAATACATGTATGTCCTAAATGAAATCAATAACGTTTACGGCAATTCTATGATGGGGGAAACAGTTGATGAAGTGGTCATTTATTAGCATTAGTTTGTTCAATGCCAGTTGTTAATGATTATCATAATCGCAAATTTAATATGTAACATATGAATTAATTTTTGACTGAAATTGCATATTGTCCAGTTGCAAGTATTTCATGCTCATTTAGAGCGAACATACAAATAATTCTAGTGCAGTTGAATTAATTGCTTACTATGTAAATTATGTCTTACTAATAAACTCTGATGATGCCTTTTATATTAATCCGACGGCGGGCTTTCAATAGAATTGACTTCCCTTTTTTTCAACAGTTCTGATATTCTAAAAGCTCTTCAAATCAAATACTGGTTTTCCGGGTTTCTAATAAATTTTAGGTTTCGAGCATCACTAAAGACACACGAACAAGAGAAATAACGTCCTTTGCCAAATATTTCATGCATTATTCGAACGACATCATGTTAACAATAAATACTGTATATAGGTTCTATTATCATACCGGGAATTTCGGATTGGGCATAAATTTTGACGGTTATTCGGGATTAACACTAGTTGGGATTATAATCTTAAAAAAAATAAGAGCGTGTGAAGACCGATTTTTTAATGACTTCAGTAAGAAACTACTGCAATCTCCGTTATGTAATAGAGGCCGTTTTAAATAAAAGTTGCGGAAATTAAAAAAAATGTTGCCTTCCAAAATACAACAGAAGGCACCATCAAAGAGTGAATTGCTACAAAAGTATTTTATTAATGCGCAGAGAATGGGACATTCTCCCTACACGAGGTATCTGATTTAAGATCTTCAATTTAACTGAGCATGGCTGGTTACATTTACATCCAATATAGCCGAACGGACGCCCCCACTTTTAAACCAGGTTATACTGCCGGTTAAAAAAAGACCTATAAATAAATAAGGTTAAAATGAATGGATGGACAGTTATTGAATGTAATTTCTTGGTCAAATACATTAAATGATAGCAGTAAAAAAGTTGTATTGTTTTTTAGGCGGACAGGACCCCTTGAGCCAGACTATAGTAAAGTAATTTATTTCTATTTTTTAATGAAATAGTAAAATGAGTATACGTTATTGAAAAAACAATAACCAAATAACCGACGTATTAATAATATGGACACGAATGATAGTTCCAGTAAAAGAAAAAAATTCAGCTTGATATGGACACGTTTTGAGGATTGGGCACGTTTGGGTGTTCATTAAAAATGGACACGTTTGGGCGTTTAGACAAATGACACGCTTTGGCGCCCTTTTACATTTAGACATGTTTTGCAGTTCAGTGACGTCATGTGGACACGTTTAGGGGAATCGGACACGTTTGGGGGGAAGGACACGTTTCTGAGTGTTTTTTTTTATCTTTTATTTGTTTTCAATAGTCAGGATTTTACAATACCCCTACAATCACCACCTGACTATGGTTTTTGGGGCAAACATTGAAAGTTATATACAAGACTATCCATTTTTTTTTTAAATTTATATTCATTATCATAATTCAAGAATATAGTTATTAAAGAAAAAAAAAAAAAATAAATAAATAAATATAGCTGCTCACACTCACACTTTCTCTCACTACTTACACACAGTCCTTGCGATCTTACCATTAGTATGCATGTATGTCTATATATAAAGTAAAAATCAAATATCAACTGCTCACTATAGTATAATTTAAAGTATAAACGATAATAAATCATGAAAAAATTGTATGTAGTGGGGACCAGAATCTTTCATAAGATGCTGCTCTATTATTTTTGTTTGCAATATAAAATTCATTTGATTGGTATTGTTTTATTCTGGATTTAAGTCCTACAAAACTAGGAGCTATATTTCTTAACTTACATCTAAAGATGTAGTTTTTAGCTATAATAATTAACAAATTTATAAACAAAACTCTTAGTAATAAATCCCAGTAAAATTTCCATCTTACTGATGCTGAATTGCTCATCAAATAATTTGATTTTCTGTAAAAATGACAACCAAAAATTGTATGTAACATTACAATCATAAAATAAATGTTCTATTGTTACCTCTTCCTCATTACAGAAGGTACATAGACTTGTTTCCTTTTGCTTAATTCTATATAAAAATGTATTAGTAGGTATAATTCTATGTAATATTTTATATTGAAAATTCTTTAAATATGTATTACTACAACATCTTTTCAAAAGAGAAAAATACTTCGACCATTCTGAGATTTCAGAATTTGTTACATCCTCCCATTTCAAAAATTTCTCATATGGGAGTATGCATATTTAATCTACAAGATCTCTGTATACAAATTTTAACTTCTTATTTTCCAAGATCCTTTTAGAAAATGCATCAAAAGGAACAAAATTTTCTAAGTTCAAATCACAATAATCTTTGATGTATTTTTTGATATATTTTGTTTCTGAGTGTTACATATATAATGAAGAAACTGCAATACTGGGTGAGAGTCAATACTGTAAACCATCTTATTTTTGAGAGCGATTAATTTTCGCAACTTTCGTGAGTAGAAAATAAATTGTTGCAAGTATGTAAAACTTTGATCAACCCTTAAATGAATATATCATAAAATTTAGAAAATGCTGAATATAAATCACTGCAAAATTGGCTTAAGAGGCCTAAATGGGAAATAAAATATCTTCGAAAGCAAATTGGTTTACAGTAGTCATGTAGAGAAATGATTCCAATTTAGGTATGCACCACACATATCTCTGGAATTATCCTCGTTAGGAAAGCTACAGGCCAAAAGAAAGGGGAACTAAAAGCCCCCCCCCCCCCCCCAAAAAAAAAAAACAAAAAATTGGGACCATCAAACAAGAAAGGACCAAATATTTAACAACCAAAACCATTTAGGGTTATACAGCAAGATACAACATTTACAATAAATATTATAAGACATAATTCGTAGATATAAATTTAAATGGATATTAAATTGCCTATTATGACATATACTTTATTTTTCCATTCTATTTTAAGATTGAAGATGACGACGACGATGAAGATGATGATGATGATGATGATGACGATGATGATGATGATGATGAAGATGACGATGATGACGATGATGATGAATATGATGATGAAACAACTGAAGCTACAACAGAACGTTCAGAAAAACCTATACCTGGTGTACGACAAGTTCAACAATACGATCCTAATGCTAAAACTAGATTTGATTCTAAAAAATAATGAATGATTTCAGAAACTATGTAATTCTGGTAGGGATTTAGTTCAAACTATAGTTAGTTAGTAAATAAATGTTACATATGAACTCTACATGGAGTGATTCAAAAACAAAGCATTGACATACACCATTCTGTTTCTGCAGAGATTTAGGGTAGGAGTTATGATGAAAAGTTCCCCTTTTATGTTTTAATACCAATCACATAAGATAAGTTTATGGTACTAAAAAGTTTAGTTAAGGATGCATTGAAAATGACGACCTCCTTTAAGAGTGATTTTTGTAGGAGTTGGAGCTATATATTTGTTATCTCAGCTGCAATCCTTTTATATATGTTGGGTGCAGTTTATATGAATATATTTAATACTTTCATACCTTTATGTTTATTGGAATCTTGGTGGTTCATTAGATAACAATCCCATTAAGGTAGTAAATGACCAATACCGGTATATATGTATAAGGAAGAGCATTTTTTATTCTTCATAGTTTTGAAGAAAAAAAAATTTGGGGAGGGAGGGGGGGGCTTAATGATGAACAATACAAATCCCACATGAGATCAGCACCAAGTTGGCCGCTAGCCTGGACTTCAGCAGCACTCTTTAATAGATAATATGGCTTTAAATGTACATATGCTGCAATAATCAATCAGTGGCATAAACTGTTTGAAGTCTTTCAACAATTTCTATCATGCATTGCAATATGAATGTTTCACTGCTGGCCCTCGAATATCATATTTGTCTGATGTTTATATGTTCAAATTAAAATCCTCTACTACAATTACATAGTTTCTGAATTATTCTGTTGTAATGCTTTGCATTTACCTCACAATAGATTAAGGACAGTATTATTTGTTGCCTTGTTGAATGTAAGTTATTTATAAATTAAGCATGATTAAATTGTTGATGGTATGAGCTATTTTTTCATGGTAATATTTCAGAATTCATACAATGGACATTTTATTTTTGGAATTTTTTCTTAATTTTATATCTTTATTTTCATTTATTTTTATAAGTAAATGGGAAATTCTAAATACTGGTACTTTCATTTTTATATGAATGCATTAAAAATAAAATATTCACTATTTGTTCATGTGTAAATGAAATTATTGTCTTTTGTTGATTCATTATCGTTGGATATTTTTACACTTATGGTTACACAGTAAATAATCAACACGATTTGCATATGTCAGGCACACATTCTACACACTTTTTTTGAGTAAGTGCATTTTACTACACATGATATTAGTAATTTTTTACTGTGTGTGTTAATAAAATTTTCATGATAATTTGCATGTATAGAAGATGTCATTTTTCTTATGCAATTGAGAAATTAAAATATTATTTTTATATATTTTTCGATGCAGCTAAGGAAGAAGTATTACTTTAAAAGTGAATTTACAGCATAAACTGTTACATTCATGTATTAACCAATTTTTCTGCAGATGTTCAATTTATTTTAGAATTTTTCAGTAGCTTTTTACATGTATGATGTAATATTATCTTTCGGTTGCCAAAGTTATTGATCTGCAATTTTAAAAACCCAATATCAAAAAAAATTCTGAATAGAATGATCAGTTGCAAGAAATTGTTTTAATACATGTATGATTTATGCTGTGAGTTTCATGTTTTGATTAGAGCTATATCATTAAACATACATGGTACCAGGGAATGCACTTCAAAATGGAGTAACCACTTATAGAGGCAAATTTAGATTTACACTTACATTTTCATTGTACTTGACACCCACCCTTAGATGAGATTTCGAAATGCGTTTCCTTTGTTCCATGTATGTTTAAATCATACTTTGCCTAGTACATGATAAGTTTCAGGATATTATGTGAGTCCTTTAAGTTTGAATCATTATCAAAACATGTTCAATTGGTTATTTTATTTCATCTTTTTGAATACATGTACATGTACAATGCATCTAGATTTTTGAGAAATAATTGTATCAGTGCTTGTTTTTGAGATAAAAGCATTAAAGAAAAATAGATTTTTTTTGGCATGAAGGATGGGCCTTGATTTGTCATATGAAATGTTTCAGTAGCAATGAATGTTAAAATGTTTCAAATAAAAAGGGAAATAACAAGAAGTTCAAAATATTTTACTATAAGTTTGTTTTGGATAATATTTCATCAAATTATGGAGATTTTAATGGTTGCTTGGAAATTTTTTCCAAGAAAAAACACAGAGAGGTTAAAGGAAAAGTAAACATCCTTAATCTTGGCCATGGAGAGTCCTTCACCAATAAAATTGTGTGTATGTCTAGAGAGTTGCATTAAGCCCAAACAATTAAACAAACAGTATTGTTGAAAATGGTGAATTGTAATAAATGTTTGTTATAAACATTTTCAAAATGCAGTGTCAGGTGTTTTTTTTGTTGAATTGTTCAGTTATGTGGTAATTTTATGAATCCGTCCATATTGTGCCATTCGTGAATATTTGTAGTTAGAATTATTTATTCCTCAAATTTTAAATTTTTCTTGTTAAAGAAAAAAAAATGTAGGTTGTATGTAGCGTTTGCACCAATACTTATTCTTGTAAATCATGAATATGCAGTTGAAATCCAAATTTCCACAAGCTAGTTTTGTTAAACTGGATAAACATATATATTCCTGAGTATTACTAAATATAAAATACTTTTTTAGATTTCTTTGAGAGATTACATTTATGTTTATTATGGTCTCTATATATGCAGTGAAGGAATATAGATTTACTGTGGGATGTATTTTATCTAGTCATCTAGTTTTTCAGCCAAATTTGGGTAACTTTTGGCCAAAATGTTGAGCTTCAATGATGGATGTAAAGTTTTGCCTTATAGTCTATATCTAGAATACCTGTTGTTATTCTACTGTATCAATCAAACTTCACGTCTTAGTAGTTTTGTTTGAAATTTCACACAGTGCTAGGGTATGTCTTGTATTTGCAGTGAGTTGCAAGATTTTGTTCCATGATGAAGGCCTCACTCTGACTTTTCTTTCAAGAAAAAAAAAACAATCAATGCACAAGCACATGCAAGATATTTGTTCATGTGCACATCTGATCAATCTCTCTAAATACTAGTTGTAAGAAGGTTTTTTTCAACATTTGAACATTTTTTTTTTTTTGTAAACAATATTTATTATGTGTCATTGATGATTTTGTTTTAGCTAATTTAACTGGTAAGTGATTGGTTTACATCGTTATTTGAGTCATTTTGATCATAAGATATGTTTAAGACATTAGTGAGTTAGTTTAGCACTGTTCAGCAACATGTGGTGCACGATGTAATGCACTTTTAGACTTTTGTTAAATTTTGAATAGGTCCATTTCCAAGAAATGTATTGTCATATATCAATTATATTTTTTTATTACAGTTTTCTTATATGGTACAATGCTGTTCAGCTAAATTTGGATCACAATTTACACCATTTTTCTCAAAGTTTTCTTTTTTGAAGGGACATTCTTACACATCCTTGTACTTTGGTCTTTGGTTGTTAGTTGTCTCTATAGCAAACCTACCACATCCTTATTTTAATGATAATATAAGTTTCATGTACAAGTTTAATGAAAAAACACACAAAAAAACAGATTATATGCATTTATATATATATATTATCCCATTAGGCATTAATTTCTTGATATGATAACTGGTATGCATCTTGTTTTTTTCTTTCATCTGATTCATAAAATATATCTATTTTTATATATTTTTATCTAGATCTGTTATTTATCTTATATTGTTAACATATAAAGTTCACTAAAATGTACAGCCTTTTTTTTTTTTACAAGTTCTGAAAACCATATAATGTGGAATCATTTACAATCTTGGCTAGCAAATTTCGTAGATTGATGAAAACGTGCATTTTCGTGGATATTTGATTTTCTGGTTTTGCAAAACATGCAAAAGTCTGTGTACAAGCTTAAGAAAAAAATTTATTATGTTAAACATTTAAATTTGTAGTTCACCTATACCCGCAAAATTTGGTATCCCACAAAAATAATGAATACACAATACCACCTTTCATGCATTGTAGCTTTTTCTTAAACCTGTAAATTTAATTACAGTAAAACATAGTTGACTGAAACAAAAAATGCATAAGCAGCGTGTAGTCATCTTTAAAATAGCTATATGTACTCTAGTTGGTAAAAGATGAAGTAGTTTATTAGTGTTACAGAAGAATCCCTCCAATCATATCTCTCATACAAATCACTGAAAATGAAAAACCTGGTAATGGTTTAATTGGCATCATGATTCCAGGAGCCGTCCCTTAATAAATAGCCTTTTTTAAAATCATCTCATTTGAAAAACTCCAGGGGAATATTGAAATGATAGCAAAGGTCCCTGCAGGAAAGAGGAGCAAATCAATTGATCATCTTGTTATTTTTTTTTCACATCTTACAAATTAATAATTACACATTTTTGCATTAAGTTGCCGGCAGAAAACTATAATGATAACTTTTTTTTTTACATTTGATTTATTTACAAAATTTGATTCTTAAGAGCACAGATGTAGCCTGATCAACATCTTAGCAAAGAATTTCACACAGTGCTAGGGGATGTCTTGTATTTGCAGTGAGTTGCAAGATTTTGTTCCATGATGAAGGCCTCAAGAAAAAAAAGCAATCAATGCACAAGCACATGCAAGATATTTGTTCATGTGCACATCTGATCAATCTCTCTAAATAGAAGTTGTTTTTCAACATTTGAAAATATTTTTTTTGTAAACAATATTTATTATGTATCATTGATATTCTTTCAGCTAATTTAACTGGTTAGCGATTGGTTTACATTGTAATTTGAGTCATTTTGATCATAAGAAATGTTTAAGACATTAGTGAGTTAGATATGAAAAATATATAAAAGATAAAAAAAATATGAAATAGGTTCCATAGACTAAAATATCTTTCTTGGAGGGAATCTTTACTTATGAAAGTTTGAAAAGTTGACATCTATGCTTACAAAATATATATGTAATTACATTGGTTATTTATATGTTATCGTTTGCATTTTAAAAATAAAAAGATAAAAAAAAATTGCATTGGATTTTCTGTAGATAAACATTTAATAAAATGCAATCAAAACCCTATATCATTGGCTTGATACTGTAAATTCAGAAATTATTGCAATGTTTTTATTATTGCGAAAAATGCGACAGGGTTATAATCGCAATAATTTAAACTCGCATTTTGAAATTTTTTATAAAATTAAACAGGATTTTTCTCAATATCGCAAAAATTAAAATCGCATTTTAGTCTAAAATAACAAAATCGCAATAATAAATGCACGCAATAATTCTGAATTTACAGTAGCTATATATTGGTTGATGTAGTCTTAACATTTGATTTTGTCTTGTTTTCTGGACTCCCCCCTTTTTTAATTTATCTTGGAGTTAGGTATTTTTGTTAATACTATTTTTCCAAGCCTCATCTCTACCTAAAAGTTCCTTCACTGATTGCTGGTCTGTAAAAAAACTTTCCAATGTCATTTGAATACCTATCTGTCCAAACATCCACTGAGAGCTGGTCTGTATAAAACTTTCCACGAAACCTTTTTTCAATTATTAACATCTATTTTATCAGCAATCAAAGCCGGGCTCCAAAGTTATTGTGAAACTGCCTATTCTAGAGTTGGCGTGAATCAGATGTGGATACTAAAAAATTCCAAAGATCTTTTAAATTACATACAATCTAAGACTCTCTCATCATGCAATAGTATTAAAATATTTGATTTTTCTACACTTTACACAAGTATTCCCCATTCCAGACTAAAAGACAAATTGAAAGAGTTGGTATTACTTTGTTTCATTAAAAAGAATGGCGAACGTAGATACAAGTATCTTGTCTTGGGGAGGGATAAATCCTACCTTGTAAAGAATCACTCTGATTCAAACAAAAAATTTTCTGAAACTGACATTATCAAGATGATTGATTTCTTGATTGACAACATATTTGTTACATTTGGAGGACATGTTTTTCAACAGACTGTCGGAATTCCAATGGGAACCAATTGTGCCCCTCTTATTGCCGACTTGTTCCTTTATTATTATGAGGCTGACTTCATACAGGAACTTCTTAGGAAGAACGATAAGAAGTTAGCAATATCCTTTAACTTTACGTTCCGCTATATAGATGTTGTTCTCTCACTAAATAATACAAAATTTGGTAACTATGTTGAACGAATCTATCCCATCGAACTAGAGATAAAGGATACTACAGATACAGTTAACTCTTCCTCATATCTTGACTTACATCTAGAAATTGACAATGAGGGTCGGTTGAAAACAAAACTTTACGACAAAAGAGATGATTTCAGCGTCCCAATTGTGAACTTTCCATTTCTATGTAGCAATATTCCAGCAGCGCCTGCATATGGAGTATATATCTCCCAATTGATACGATATTCCCTGGTTTGTATTTCCTATTATGATTTCCTTGATAGAGGATTGCTGCTCACAAGGAAGTTATTAAACCAAGAGTTCCAAATGGTGAAGTTGAAATCATCCCTTCGTAAATTTTACGGACGCCATCAGGAGTTGGTTGACCATTATGGAATAACCGTTTCACATATGATATCGGATATGTTACTTATGTCTTAACTACAATACCCTTCCCTTTTCATGAATGTGACCTACCGAATTAGACGATTTACCTGATTTGTAATAACATAAGCAACACAACGGGTGCCACATGTGGAGCAGGATCTGCTTACCCTTCCGGAGCACCTGATATCACCCCCAGTTTTTTGTGGGGTTCGTGTTGCTTAGTCTTTAGTTTTCTATGTTGTGTCATCTGTACTATTATTTGTCTGTTTGTCTTTTTATTTTTGGCCATGGCGTTTTCAGTTTGTTTTCGATCTATGAGTTTGACTGTCCCTCTAGTATCTTTCGTCCCTCTTTTATAAAGCCAAACCAGTACAAAGTTGAAGAGCATTGAGGACCGAAAATTCCAAAATGTTGTGCCAAGTACGGCTAAGGTAATCTATTCCTGGGATAAGAAAATCCTTAGATTTACGAAAAATTAAAAGTTTTGTCAACAGGAAAATTACTAAAATGACCATATAATTGATATTCATGTCAACACCGAAGTGCTGACTACTGGGCTGGTGATACCCTCGGGGACAAATCGTCCACCAGCAGTGGCATCGACCCAGTGGTATAAATAGTTGTACCAGGAAAACTTTCCAATGATATTGGAGTACCTATCTGTCCGCACATCCACTGATAGCTGGTCTGTATAAAACTTTCCCATGTTACTGGAGTACCTATCAGTCTACACATCCACTGATAGGGCAAAAAGATCCGGGGTTGGTATGGTCAATATTGGCGTCTGGCCATCCGAAAGGTGGGGTAGGGATCCATTAAAATTGTTTTTGGCTTATGTTCGCATAGTTTAGAATAAGTAAGCATTCAGGCATATAGCAGGGACCCTTAGCATTCGTTTGAGCCATAATATACCACTATGGCATGCCTTGGCGGTACTGGGGGAAGATTTTTATTCTTGTGGGTAATTGCCTTTATGTTGGTTCTCTGGCCTTTTAGGTTGGTTTATCGTGTTTTCTGCTTAAGGACGTGCCTATCTAATTAGGAAAAGGCGTCTAATAGTTAACCGAGGCCTTTGCAATGAGAATGGCACCTTGTATAGACCTATAACATACTCCACTCGGTCCATATGGTAAAAAGATGCTGGGTTGGCATGGTCAATATTGGCGTCTGGCTATCCGAATTGGGGTAGGGGTCGATTAAAGTTGTTTTTGGCTTACGTTCCCATAATTAAGAATACGTAAGGATTCAGGCATTTAGCAGGGACCCTTATCGTTCATTTGAGCCATAACATACCTCATATGGCATGCAATGCTGGGTTGGCATGGTCAATATTGGCGTCTGGCTATCCGAATGGGGGTAGGGGTTGATTAAAGTTGTTTTTACCTTAGGTTCGCATAATTAAGAATACATTAGGATTCAGGCATTTAGCAGGAACCCTTAGCGTTCTTTTGAGCCATAATATACCACTATGGCATGCCTTGGCGGTACTGGGGGAAGATTTTTACTCTTGTGGGTAATTGCCTTTATGTTGGTTCTCTGGCCTTTTAGGTTGTTTTATCGTGTTATTAGCTTTAGGATGCACCTGTTTAATTAGGAAAAGGCGTCTCATAGTTAGTCAAGGCCTTTGCAATGAGAATGGCACCTTGTATAGACCTATAACATGCTCCGATCGGTCCATATGGTAAAAAGATGCGGGGTTGGCATGGTCAACATTGGCATCTGGCTATCCGAATGGGGATAGGGGTCGATAAAAGTTGTTATTGGCTTACGTTCACATAATTAAGAATACGAGTAAGTAAGGATTCAGGCATTTAGCAATTAGCATTCGTTTGAGCCATAATATACCCCATATGGCATGCCTTGGCGGTGCTGGGGGAAGATTTTCACTCTATGGGTAATTGCCTTCATGTTGGTTTTCTGCCCTATTAGGTTGGTTTATCCTGTTGTCAGCTTTAGGACGCTCCTACTGAATAAGGAAAAGGCGTCTCATAGTTAGTCAAGGCCTTTGCAATTGGAATGGCACGTTGTATAGACCTATAACATGCTCCGCTGGGTCCATAGGGTAAAAAGATTCGGGGTTGGTATCGTCAATATTGGCGTCTGGCTATCCGAATGGGGGATGGGGGTCGATTAAAATTGCTTTTGGCTTACGTTCGCATAATTAAGAATGAGTAAGGATTCAGGCATGTAGCAGGGACCCTTAGCGTTCGTTTGAGCCGTAATAAATCCCTATGGCATGCCTTGGCGGTGCTGGGAAAATATTTTCACTCTTATGTGTAATTGCCTTTAGGTTGGTTTTCTGGCCGTTTAGGTTGTTTTATCGTGTTGTTAGCTTTAGGACGCGACTACTTAATTAAGAAAAGGCGTCTCATAGTTAGCCAAGGCCTTTGCAATGAGAATGGCACCTTTAACCTATAACATGCTTCGCGGTCCATAGGGTAAAAAGATGCAGTGTTGGCATGGTCAATATTAGCGTCTGGCTGTCCGAATGGGTGTAGGGGTTGATTAAAGTTGTTTTTGTCTTACATTCGCATAATTAAGAATAAGTATGGATTTAGGCATGTAGCAGGGACCCTTCGCATTCGTTTGAGCCATAATATACCCGCATGCTCAACATAAACATGAAACTTAATATTAAAATAGGCTGTTATTTTTCTTGTTTGAATTGTTTTTCATGATGGGGCCTTTTATAGCTGACTATACAGTGTGTATTTTTCACATTGTTGAAGGCTGTACAGTGGCCTATGATTGCTTACATCCACTTCATTTGAAATCTGGTGGACAGTTGTCAGTGATTGAACAACAGTATATTGATATCCTCAAATTTGTAAATCATCCTCAAAATCATGATCAGCCTAAACAGGATTAAAAGAGAAACCTAACAGCTAAATATGAATTCCAATTCAGATATATATATATACAGAAGCTGCTGCTAAAATTGATGAAAAGCTACAACTCTATCTAGTCACTGAGAAGTGCTACAATGTTTATATATAAGCAGCACATAAACAGTAACAAGAAAGGCTGTTAACCTGTGAAATTTTAGACCGCAGTAATTTCATTATTTAAAATTAACAGATTACTGAAGAAAACAGAAACTAAATGAGACTAAAGAGAAAACTGCACTTCCATTAGACCAGTACATCCTGCCCCTACTATGAAATCACATTCTCTCACACCTTTTCTCCCTCTCTACATACCACTCTCAATCATATACCCTCACCCTCTCAATCACTCTTTTTCTCCCTCCTTTCCTCACCCTTTCACCCTTTCATAACAACCTTAGCTACCTATCACCTATACCCCTTCTGC